CTTATATAAGGGTGCAGTGGCATTTTAACTACCCTGAGCCTAATTGCTGAAAGAGTCTGGACTTCTTAAGTACACTGGCAGTAGGCAAGCAAGGAAGTGCTTTATTCCAAAGAGGAACTCTGTCCTGCCCTGCAGCAGAAGGAAGGCTAGTGTTGTTACCAGGCAATCGCTTGCTGCCATAAGATGTTCTTTTGATTGGACCCAATGATAATTCCATTCTTGCTGCTGAACTAACGCCCTGCACAGACGAAAGGGGTGAGACTCAGAGAGCTCTGACACTTGTCTTGATGCACGACACAATTTTACTATCTGCTTATCAGGCTGGTGGCATCTTGCAAAAGGCTGGGCAAGGTCTTCCCTGTACTTATTAAAAGTAGATGCTAAACAGACTGGGTGGGCTTCAAGTGACAGTTGTACTTTCCGAGCAGAAGGACATAGAGGGAGATTGCCACTAAAGGACAGAAAGATTACTGGTTTTCAAATTATATTTTTCTTGGATAAGAAAGGAGTAAATTTCAGTCCTACTGCAAGACTCTGATCTTCAAGGCAGTAACATGACATTCTCCTTACTTATAAAATAGCTTTGCCTCTGTGGAGATTATGTTCTGGCATACTAAGTAAGGAGCTAATTCATCATTAAAGATGGGGAGTTGAATAGATGCTTGTTCAGCTAATAGCCTGGTGAATGTAAAGGAAGGAATTACATTTCTGTGTCATAGTCTGCAGTATCTCACTGGCTACAGCCTGATGACTCCTCTAGAAAGACTAATGTTAGGATATTAAGCCAGGCCACAGCATGCAATATAATTTAAACATCATCCAATCTAATTACAGTTAGTGAAGCATCACTACGAAACAGTCTGCTATTTGGTATGCCTTGTATAATATCATTGCCACTTCTGTACATGTCTTTATCACAAGCAATTGATCTCATATTGCTGAAACTTTGCTGTAAAACCCCTTCCAAAATGTCACACATTCTATGAGCATTACTAACAACGAGCCAACACCCTCTGACAGGCCATGAAACGCTGCATGCTGCTCATTTGCTGAGAAAGTGCTCATATGAGATTAATGCTAGACAGTGACATTATTAAAAACTGCATTTTTGCCTCTCTCCCACATTGCTCCGTCTCAATTTCTGGCATCTATGCACAGGGGCAGAAAATTGCCACCAGTTCAGAAGAACATGGCTTTTTCCTTCCTACTTGACACAGGTATAAATAGTTGTACATGCTGAAGTGGTGGAGATGCAAGCGCTGCTCAGGCCAGACCGAGTCAGAGTCACGCAAGGCTCTCTGTGGAAAGGGAATGCTGCTCACCATGAGTAACACCAGCCAGCTGCTGCAAACAGCAGTCTGGCTCACAGGAAGCATCCCATGATCAAAGGAGAATAGGAAATAGGTAACGCAATACATGGCTGACTTCTCATTGTACAGCTGTGACTGCATTTCAGTCTGGGACAGCCACACACTGTATTTGTACTTACTTGTACTCTTTGGACATCTGACATTTTCTTTGTCCTGTATTTGAAACAGTTATTTGCTCTAAGTGATGATAATATCTTTGGTAACTGACAACCACTAGGAATACCTGTGTAAAAACTTTTGGTTTTGTCATTACTCTACATATTTAATTTTTGACTCATATGTGGACTAAGCCAGGGAGCAAATAGCACATTAATATGTTCTGTGTATATCAGACTGAATTAATCACGAGGCAAAATGCTCTTCTTGTATACTAAATGTGCGCTTGGGTCAGAAGTGTAAGTAACAATTAAACACAATGCTGAAGAACAGGCCCTTTTCCATTATGGAGACTGGGACCAAATCCACAGTGTCCAAGGGGCAAGGTCCAGCAGCACACAGGAATGCAGCTTGCCCAGTCTAGTTGTCCCCCCTTGACCCTCAAGAACCATGATTTGCTCCTTCTGAATTCAGAAAGATTGCAAAAAAGATCAGAGCTCTAGTTTGAGCCATTTGTGATGTCATCAAAATATGTCCACATGCATTAAATTTCTTCCATTGACTTTTAAAAGCAGTTCTGCTATTTTTTTTTTGGGGGGGGGGATGGGGGGGTGCTGTTGTTTTCCTTGTTTGGTTGGTTGGTTGGTTTGGTTTTTTTGGCAGGGGGCTTGCATTGTTTGTTTGGGGTTTTTTGCAACTGCCATTTCTTGATTGTATTCTGCTTACGAAGGTCAGCTCTCTGCCATAGCACCTCTGCAACATTTAATCTTGTCCTTCTCTCTCAGATATCACTTTCCTTTACTCCGGGGGGGTGCTGTTGTTTTCCTTGTTTGGTTGGTTGGTTGGTTTGGTTTTTTTGGCAGGGGGCTTGCATTGTTTGTTTGGGGTTTTTTGCAACTGCCATTTCTTGATTGTATTCTGCTTACGAAGGTCAGCTCTCTGCCATAGCACCTCTGCAACATTTAATCTTGTCCTTCTCTCTCAGATATCACTTTCCTTTACTCCCTCCACCACCACAACTGTGATCATCACCCAACCAACCTAAGAGCTAACTCTTGACCTTCCCATCCCTAGCCTCCCAGCAAGTAGCAGCACACATTGTCACCAAGGCTGCCATCTGCTAGCTGCCACGGAGCACCAGGCTGCTACTGTCAGGGCTGCCCCAGAGCTAAGAAGACAAGTAGGGTGTTGCTGCCTTCTGCAAGAGGCTGAAGTGGGAGAGCTGCTGCTACCAAATCCAAAAGGAGATGGGAAAAGGGTCAGCTAAAAGCTCCTGAGGATAAAGACCACCTGATCAGCACCAGTGGCCACTCCAGTGTGTGACTGCAGCTACATGGAAACTGTCTGAGCAGCAGTTTCGCATTTCTTCCAAGAAAACGGTGAAGGGCTCTGGCACATGGTCCACACACAACCCACTTGGACTACAGTGAACGGGTTTATACCTCTCTTTTCCCAGTGTTATACTCATCCAGGGCATCAGAGCTTTCCCCTTTTAGGCCTCTTTGCAATAAAATAACCTCAAAACTAGCCTGTGTCAGAAAAGTAATTTATCTTAGCTGAACAGCTATGAGTTACTTTTTTATTAACCTTTTTTTCCAATTTTCAGTGGCATCAGACTCCACATGGATTTCAGACAGAAAAGTCCTAAATATCTGCAGTCTGCTGAGAAAGCGAGCTGCACACCCGTTCCAGATGATTCCCCCTTTCCCCTACACCACAGAGCACTCACAGCATTGCCAACATGCTCCCCTTTCGCAAGACGCAGGGTGGGAGCAAACATTATTTGGTTTCCTGGCTGGTTCAACCTTGTTCTCTTTTTTTACACTATGGCACATATTTGTACAGCATGCAACAACCAAATGAGAACATCTTTTCCCAGTGGTGTTTCTTAACAGTATTTGAAGAAAGATTTTTAAGTAATGTCACATGAATTGCAAATTAAAGCCTCCTTAACACACTTCCATGACTGTTTTCCCCTTGCATTTTCCTCTTTATACCTCTTTCAGTCTGTATTTTCTTTGATTGGAAGCACTGCAAAATTGTTAAAGAGTGAAAAGTACTTTTCTGCTCCCTGTCTCCTCACTCCCTCCGATATGTTTTATTTCTATTCTTTTAAGTGCTTTGGATCAGGTCCTTGCCTCTGGCACTATTCATCCAGCCTTGACTTATGTCTAGAATAGTGTCTTCTGGCAAGCCTCTTGCTCCTCACTGGCTGGCTACTGTGTGCAGGGCTCCTGCTTTTCATGGATCAAGGGCTTAGGCATCTTGAGACTAGCACTGGCCTCTCCACTTGGCTCCAATGTTTCCTTTTCAGCCTCCTCACAAAAATGAACCCGGGTTTAATAGTTAGTTCTCAATACAGTCCTCCCTTGTTTATTTTCTTCACATGTCTATTCTTTCTTTCCATTCGTGGCCACAAAGGGAAGAAAGCTGGAAGAACACCACTTTTGCCAGTTAATTACCAATTTTGAGCTGTGAAGGCTGGCACAGTAAGGATGTAGAGGGAGCAAGGGAGGACATCCAGAGGGAACAGATTAGCCCATATTCAGGCCTGTCACTGGACCTTCTTGGTCCTCTTCTGCCAGATCCCAGTGTAAGCAAGTATCTCCAGAAATGTGGGCACTATTCCTTAGGCCTCTCCTTGGCTGTATGTATTCTTCTCTAACACTTCTCTAAATTTCCATTCCTCTTGCGCAAAACCTAAGTGGAGCACAGGGGCTACATGCTGACATCCTGTAGAAGGGTGAGATCCGAACGATGGATTAGTTTAGCAAAATAGTAAAATTGTAGGCAGGAGATTATAATCCTTCGTATAGCAGTGATCATAACTACACTCTACTTCCTACAGTACAAAGTACAAAACTGAGAGAAAACAATTTTTCAGTTGTCCTAGAAATAACAGTTTTTACAAAATGAAAATAAAGGGTACTTGGCTTTAGATTGACTGGATGGTTTTATTTGGCTATAAATTTCACATTTTGTTTGTGGGTAAATCCAGTTTCTTTCACTCCCTTTAAAGAAGTAGATTAATTATGAAAAGGAAGATATAAATGGGAGACAGAGACAGAGCAACCTTCCTTTAAAAAAGTAGAAATAACATATTTTAAATTTTTAAACATTCCCCACTCCTTCTCAGATAAAAATGAGGAAAATAACTGGGCTCAATTTACTAATCTCAGGAATTCTTCTTCTTTACATGAAGCTGTAATCGTGACATCCCACTTCACCCATAAAAGCCAGTGCACCTAACCTAAGGTGGTAGCTAGACTCTTTGTAGCAAATCTAGGCGCCTGCAGAGTGATTCCTCCTCCCTATTGCAGACACCTGTCTTAAGGTAGGATAAAGCACTCTCTGGCAATGCTTCACTCGCTACTGATTGTGGAGGAAATAGGTACAAATCATTTGGACTTAGCACTTGAGGTTTAATGGCTAAATTTAGATAAGATAAATTTCCCCTTGATCTTCTGCATCCTTATTGTTTTTCTTGATTGGAGAAGACCTGATTTTTCTTGTTTCTGGAATCTGGGTACATACCTTCAAGAAGTCACGGTTACAGTCAGATCCATCTTCTAAATCAAAGGCTGCGAAGCTATAGTTGAGCGTGTTCCCCTTTGTAGTTTGGATAGTCCAGTTACAGCGCTCATTTAATGGGTAATTGTTTGGATAATTTAAACTTTCCAATACGCCATGGCTACGATTAACAGTCAGTACATCATGGCAAACTGAAAAAAAAAAAGATAATAAACTATATTTGTGCAGTGCTTATTAACCCAGTATCTCAAAAAATTACTAATTGAAGTTACTGATAGCATTACAAGGTGAGAAATATTTTTATACACAAATCAGAAAACAGAAATCATGCAGAAAGAGAATTGTGACCTACTGAAGAATATATTGCATACGTTGCAAACAAAATCCAGACTTTCCAAGCTTGATTCCTTCAAGCTCTGTTATGTCTTTCTTTTCTGACACATGCAGACTCATCAGTATATCTAGGACATATATTTTTGGGCAGTTTTATTTAATTCTAAATACATGGTTATTCCTGAAACATGGGGTTTTGTTGGGTTTTTTTAACCAAAAATAGAAATTTGCCCTATCATTTGAAACAATTTGGGGAGGGCGCTCAGCAAAGATTGGCTAATGGATTAAAGTGGTTTATTTCATCAAACTGGAAAAAAAATTATAATCCCTGTCTAAAACAACAAATGGAATGTATATTATTTGTACTGGATTTTCTAGCTCCAGGAACTGGAAGTCATCATGAAATTCTTTAAAAAAGAGCCATGATTTTCTTCATGAGTCATCCAATAACATCCTAGCATAAGAACTGGACACTCACCTGGAATAATGAGAGGTTTCCTTGAAGTGCAGAGAAAATGAAAAAGAAACTAAACTAGATAAAGAGTGAAATTACAATTATAGCATTAGGTCAGTAAGTCTTATTTTCCTGTATCCAACTTTCACTAAAGACATAAAATATCAGTGAGGACAGCCCCTCATAGGAGACAGCATACAATGTGCACAGGGAGCAGACCAGTGTAATCCACAGAGAAGAACTGGGCAGGAGGCAGGGAGCAGGACAGGCTGTTTGCTTTGTACAGCAAATCTGCAGTGTTTGAACAGCAGAAATAGCTGAGATACACTTGCAAAATTGTTCTGTTCTCTGTAACTAGGGATAATACACCTACCTCCCGCATTTTTTTTTTTTTATTCTTTTCAAATGATTTACAGAGGAGCAAGGTCTGTGTTTTTAGGATTTCAAAAATGCTCAGGTTACAGCTGAAGGTCAGGGTCAGGTGGAATTGAATTTGTCTGCAAAGCTACACTGAAGCACACAAGAGTTTGAAAGGACAGCATGAAGTGCACAAAATTGATTTTGAAGAATGCAAGATGGCTAAAAGCTGCTACTCACTGCCATCAGGATTTTATTAGAAACATATCAGACACAAAGGTGCCTTTGAATGTTAATTTGATACCATATTTTCCTTTGAAATGTTATCCAATTCATCATTACATTTCTTTCATGTACCTGTAAACGCATCTCGCATCTAAGCATCCTTATTTTATACCACTACTTCCTACTCAATTTTAGCTTTTGGGCAATCCATTGAGAGCTTTCTCTGATGCATCTTTGGGAATTAAATATGAATGTAAAGTGTAGATCACATTATCTGATAGCTGAAATTCCATAAATCAGTGCTTTGAAAGTGCTCTTTCTGTTTAATTAATGAAAGTGGAGGGAACTCCTTTCTAATATGTCATCTTGACTTTGCAGTCAGAAAAGTACACAGCAGACGAACCTGTGATATTCACAAGGAATGAGGGAGCCAAAGCACCCTCACTCTTCTAATGCACCAGGTGTGGATGAATAGGTTTGTTTTTTTCATAATCCATTTACTATTGTCCAAACCTAGGACAACTTAATGTCTATAAACCTACAGCAATCTGTGTAACTTGGGCATGTCATATTTAGGGTATGCAAAGATGCTTGCAAATCACTTTGTATGTGGTGAAATTCTGTATCTTCCAATGTGCATTTAAGCATATATACTAGAGTGCACAAGGAGAAAAGTACACTGGGACACTATTTAAGGTTATGACTACGAACAAAATAATTTGTCATGTATCTTCTTGGATTTTTCTCCAAATGTTATTATTCTGATATTTCTGAGGTAGAAAAATTTTACAAAAAAATGTTTGCAAGAAAAATGTGACCCTTACTGTAAGATATAAAAATTGAAACTTTTAAAAGTGTTCCAGATAGGCTAAATGATTCTAATCACCCACACTCATCCAGGATGGTTGAGGGTAACTCACTTATCCTTTGCCATCTTGCCTCACAAGCAGCTTGAAGAACAGAGAAACTTACTCTATCTGCCTTCTCTGTTAAAAATTCAGGAGACTGGGTGAGCAGAAGAGCAAGAACAGTCCAATCTATCTTGTTATGAACTTCCAGCACTTGCTATTCTGAGTAAATCTGGAGTGCTAAGTGGCACTGGTGCAGTAACAGAAGCAGAGCCACCTCATCAGCTTTCTTCTAGGGAGGAGATAATCTCCATCACAGGTAGACGGGCAGATAATTTTTAGCTCTCTGTGTTCTGTGACTGTAGCAGGCTAGAGAATCGGGGCCAATAATATGCTCAACACATTGTCCTCTGCTCATGAACAGGTAATATCATGGGGTGCATGAAGCAGTTTCAGAAACAAGCTGAACTGTAGAAACATGTTCTTCTTGTCTTCTTTTACTTATTGTATTGGGTGTGGCTGAGATGGAGTCAGTACCCTCCCAGTGCTGAGTGCTGCCCTGGCAGCCAGCAGGGTGTTTATAACACAGCTTGGGAGGGGGCGGAGCCGGGACAGCTGACCCGGATTGGCTGTTCCATACCATGTGACACCAGCTCAGCCATAAAAGCCAAGGGCAGGGAGGAGGAGGGGGGCATTTGTTACTGTGTTTGTCTCCAGGAGCAGCTGCTACACACACTGAAGCTCTGCTTTCCCAGGAAGTGGCTGGTCATTGCTTACTGAGGGGAAGCAGAGAATAACATCTTTGTTTGCCTTTTGTTTCTGTGCATGGTCTTGGCCTTTGCTTTAATTAAACTGCTTTTATCTTGACTCATGAGTTTTTCATCTTATTGTCCCCCTTTGTTTTGCTGAAGGGGAAGTGATAGAGGGGCCTGGTGGGTACCTGGTATCCAGCCAAGGTTAACCCACCACACTTACTTACCCTGTTTGTATGTAGCTAAAAAACCTCCACCTCGCAGACTGTTATCTGTCCTTAGTTTTACATACACGCTGTCTCCACTGGAGTGGATGAGTTGTGGTATCTGATCCCCACAAAATTTGCCTAGCTGTTTAGCATTGCTGCTGTTGCCATCATACACCTAAAAAAAAAAACAAAAACAAACAAAAAAAAAGAATTTAATAAAGAATTTAATACAGCTGATGGCATTAAAAATCTAAGTAATTTCCCCTGTCAAATGTCTGCTGTGGGAATTGTTACTGGGTATACAAGAGGTTAAATTCTATTTCTGCTCAGAGGAAGCCTGTCAGGCATTTCAGAAACAAGCAAATCAGTGGAAAAAGGAAGCTAGTAACCGAACACTGGTGGGTTTTGAGGGGTTTACTCACCAAGAGGATAAAACTGCACTTCATTTCAACTCTACTAAAAATACTAAAATAATTTATACAACAATTCAAATATGCAACTTGGGTTTAACAACAGGGTTATTGACACTGTTGTGCCTTTTTAGTGGTAGTTTAATAAAGCCTTGGCCCAAAACACAGCAAATTTAAAAGAGACAGATTTTTGTTTTAGTGGATAGACATAAATGCTTTTCTTACAGGCAGCTACACAGACATTGCTGCTTTACCTGTCACTGCTCTGTGATATGGAGGTAGCATGTCAACATGGAGCTTTCCTATTCTGAGTGTGTTCACTTACGAGCATTTGAAGACCAGGGCCATGTGTTTTTTTTCTTGCCTGTGCACTCATCAGAATCAGCTGCCTCCTATGGAGCAAAGTGTCACAGGGTACATACCGCAAGGTAATCGAAGTTGCACTTTTCGTGATATTCTAGATGGAATTGTTCAAACTGGATTTCAAATGGGGTTCCTCGGCTTCCTCTAAGCAACCAGTAGCACTCCGAATTGTGATAATATGGCATAGGGTAGTTGGGAGACATGAAGATACCAGAAGCTGTCATCAAAGTCCCACCACAACCTGAAAATGGGAAAGAAACCACACTAACACCTACAAGAACAGAGAATTAGACCCTATGTGTGAGTCACACTACTGACCTCCTTTACATGTCCTGAATATCTCCAGTGATGCCCCAAAAATCTCCATTTAGCCAATAGTGTTGTAACAGAAGAGAGCCCATAGCACCTAGAAATATTAACTATCTAATTTGAAGAGCGCTTTTGTTACATATTTAATCTTCATGTAGAAAACTCTCCATTAAATTCTTGGTTACTGCTTTCCTAAACATAGGAGAAAGCTGATGCTACATTATATCTAGGTAATAGTATATCCTTCTCTATGGAGAAGAAGAAAGCTGAAGAATCAAGGAAGTTGTATCCTTGATCTCAACAACATGAATATATGTTGCTATATAATTATCAGACAGATTTTAGAAGACAGGAAGCAGAAAAGATGTGGGGGGAAAGGTGAGAAATTAAATACAAATGAAAGATCAAAAACGAGATGTGTACAGTGGTTTTATACTTGAGGTGGTCATTTTACCTGATGATGTACCATCCCACTCTGCTGAAAATCCCATTCTTGTGCCAAATACGTCACTTACAAACTTTATCCACAGCTTGTTACTATGAGAGATTATAACAGGAGGCAAGTCTGTACCACAGTATTTTCCAAGAGGAGGAGAAGTTTCATAGCCTCCATCTCTAGAATGATAAGAGAAGAAAAACTTTGGGTCAAAGAAGGAAACCATGAGAAATGTTAACAAATCAAAAATCTTGGGATTCTTTCAGGCCTGGAAAAGACTAATCCTGGCTCTTCATCCTCTACGGCAATACAGCTACCAAATCCTGGAGGAGTCCCACCATAAGCACCTGCTTGCTGGGTATGTCCAGTCTCTCATCTCAGCAGCCTGCCTGTTCAAGAAGCATCTCAAGTAGACTTGATGCTGCAGAGGCAGGACCTTCTCTGCATTCTACAAGATGGCAAACATTGGTGTAATCAAAGGTAATCTTTTAATTTGAAAAACTAACAGTTTGCTCACTTCTCACTGTTCAGCCTGGCACAAAACCAGATGAGCTGGCCCAATAAAAAAACCATATTTTGCCACCACACAAATGGGAACCCATTTCTCAAAACTAATAGGATGCATTTTTTGAAATATTTTCTTAGCCTTCAGAAATGCTTCTACAACCACTTATTTCCCATTTTCAAATTAAGTAATATTTCCTGTAATATTTTCTAATACTGTAATCAGAATGCACATCTAATGTTCTCTTTTGCCATCTGCAAATGTCTTATGGGAACAAAAAAAGACAGTGACAACTTGCTTATCAATTGCTTTCTAAACGTATTTTTAAGTAAAAATACCCCACAGGTCACTAGGACAATAATAAATACATTTATAACTATATATGGATGTGATCGCAATATGATGCTTTTTAAGAGGACAATAATACTTTCAATTACATTTTCACAGGTTTATACCTGCTTTTGAGAAAAAAATTCTGTTTAGACCTTGCCGCTCTGTTTTCTTGTCATCCTCACAGCTTAAACTGCTTGCCACTGTCTCAGGTTACTGGCAGTTGAAGAACCGTGCCAGGACCTCCCCTCACTTGCATCTCAGCCTCTGCAGCTGTGGTCAGATTAACAATTTTCTTAGCTGACTGAATGCAGTTTATCAGAGGACACCTCAGGACAAGAAACCAGAGTGGCACCTCACCTAAGACTTATCTAGCTACCCCATTTAACAGTATCAGGTTTGATGAGACATCTTGGAACTCCAGTTATGGCAGCAGAAATGTGCTGAGTTGCACTTATCCATGTTCTGGGCATATCTTAAAAACTGGTTAATGCTTCTGAGCCCTTCACAGTGACAACAGAGTTAGATTTGTGCAATAAATGAATGTTTTCAGTTCTTGAGGTGAAAAAGTCAAACAAACCCCACATGTTATAATTCAGGTCTACTCCAAATTAAGGTGTACACTGTTAAAATAAGGTTAGATTAAATTTAATCTCAGACTGTTGTTTTAAGATGAAAAAATGAAACACTTTACTTAGAAAATATTGAAAAAGCCTTTCAGGTTTTCATAACTTTCTCCAGCTTGTATGTACAGCTGAAAACAACCAGCTAATTCATCAGGAATTCAGAATTTCAATACTGCAGCTTCAACAGGCAGCTTTTTGTTTGGTTCTAAAAAATAAGACAGTGTTTACAGAGGAATAATCCATACAGAATATTTGGTAGAATGTTCACAATTAGCGTTATCATGGTGCTCATTGAGGTAACGGAAACTCATGGCACGCTCAAAGTGAAAAACCACACTGGCATTCTGCAGACATAGTTCATCTAGAGAGCTGGCTCATGAGGACAAAAATGGGTGCACTGGCAATGCAAAGTGCAAATCCCGTACAGCAACACAGCAGAAAGGACATGTACTTGGCACGGCTGTATTGTAAGCACGCAGCTAACCTTCCTACAAATATTACTTTCTTCTACTTGTCTCTGTCCTGTAAAATTTACTAGAAATCACCATTCTAATATCCTAAGTTTAATGGTGATGCCAGTATAGACAAATATAACAGATTATGTACATGTTCCTAGTGCTGCATCACAGAATAGCTGCTGTTTAAAGACTACAAACATAAAACAGAGTATGTCGCAAAACAGGCAATAAAACTCCTTGTTTCTGCACTAAGGAAAACAACCAGAATGCAGCACATGGGAATTCAGTCCGCATACTCCACTTGCTCTGAGAACAGCAATTTACCAAGTGGGAAAGGCAACAACAGAGCAGGATGGGAGGAGGAAAAGGTAGCTTTGAAAGTTGTCTGATAAGCCCTTTTCCCACATTGACAGCACAGACGTATTGATAAAACTATAGCTTCTGAATATGGTTATCAGTAATAAAGACAAGAGAAATAATTAGGCTTGCCTAATTTCTACATAATCCTCTGTACAGCGTTTATTCCCTTCCAAGGTGAAGTTGGTGAAGCGCAGCACAATCTGTCTGTTCATTCCCACTGTGATGGTGTATATGCACTCTGTCCGGACAGGGTAGTTATTGGGAAAGTTTGGAGATGTTAGCACACCTGTTTCAGTATTGTAGTTGTGTGAGCACACTTTAAAAAGAAAAGAAATAAATATGAATTAATTTAATATTAAATTAACAGGAATTTTCTATTTCCAACAAACAGAAGAGCAAACATCCTCTGCTCCTGTGCATTATAACTCTTCCTGGACACATCGTACTGCTGAATGTCATCACTATAAACTAAAACCAGAATTCAGCTTTTGCATGGGATTTCTTAAATTTTAGTTGATTTCGGCTTTTGCCAGAACACTGTGTAGTAAATAGGCAACGCAAAAGCAGTTCCAGCTGCCTAAATCAGCTCTGACCTAAAACCCAGGAAAGCAGAGAAAGGAAACTGAAAGGGACTTCTTGATTCCTGAATTTCTGAAAAGCAGTGATGGTGGAAACTGAATGCAGTCTCTAGCTATGAGGAGATGTTATATTGTTCCCAGGCATTCCCCACGATCAAACCTGGGAGATGGGGATTTTATATCTAAATTTCTTTTCCCATTTTCTGGGCCAATCAGTTGGAAAATTGTATAAGCCTTAGATTATGAAGACAAAGCAGTTCTACTTAAAGTCTCATACTAAAATCAGCTACATCAGTTCTTCTGTGAGCACTGTACAAACATCATGGTATTATGAGCTGGAAAGAAGAAAATACTGTGGACTAATGCTGAGCCAGAACCTCAGCAATAATTAAAAAGAAGCTCTTTTGAAAGCATAGACATAAGGACTAGGAATAAAATTATCTGCTATACAGTGGTACATGAGACATTTTGGAGAGAGCAACTGTTATGTATTAGTTGATCATAGTCTATGTAAGGTTTGTGATCTGTCTGCAAAAGGGCAAGAAGAAATGTGAACCCTGTCAGGTGTTTTCAGTAGAAACAGGGAATCTTGATGCCACTGCACAAAGTAATGGTGACGTATCACCTGGAAAAATGTAGCTATTCATGGTCACCGACATTCTGGAAATCAAATGAGAACAAGTAAGACAGATATTGTGGAGACAGCGGGAAATTGGTAGGTTAGTAGGCAAGAGACACTAGAAGGGCTTAACTCATTGAGCTTTGCAAGTGCAGGAGAAAAAAACCGATAAACATGAAGAAGTATGAAGAAAATAAAAATAGAACACACTCTCAATGGCAGTACAAACTCTGAAGTTAAAAGCTGACCATGAATACAGATACACAGAAATTAGGAAAGTGAGTTTCTAGAGCAATCATCCAACCAACATAATAGATGTAGAAAGGGTAAAGAGAATTCCACTGTTTTTTAAGATACAGTTTGATTAATTTAATTAAGAAGGGGTTCAGATTATGTAGCTCTTGGCAAATAAAAAAAAAAAGGCGGGGGGCATAAAATGGTGGGCTGGATTTGATGACCCTGGAGACTCATTCTGGTCCTCCACTCCCCCGTTTCAGGTCCTACAGGTTGCAAATATAAGAAATGAAAGGAGATATTTCTTAGATGCTTCCTATCAAATAGGCAGGGTTAGACTAATTATAAAGTACAACTACAAGAGCAATCAAAATATTATTATTAAACTTATACTAATTTAATCTGGTTGCCACAGATCTCTGAAACCTGTTTCAGCAGCACAGCTACAGAGTAGTAATATTTGTGCTAACGCTTCACTATGCATAATAATTTAGGGTGAAGGCCCTCCATGTCTAAGGTTGGTCATTTCCATGTCTGTTCTCTATCCATTCTAACTACTAAAATACTTTTGCTTTTAATGGTATCTTTTTTAATGTTTTGGGTTTTATTTTGCATTCTTGGTCACCTGGAAGGCCTCTGTTGATGTTTTCTGTGGGGTAAATACCTCATGATCCTAATTCATCACAAGGAGAACAAAGAAACACGGCACAGAAACAGGCCAATAATTTTCTGCTATTGGGTTGTAGTTTGGTATTGACAAGTCAAAAATGTTTCTTGCACTAGTTCACTGAAAATCATCATCTGTTAAAGTCTTTATCTAGAATTTTAGTAATTTGTGTGTTCCATGACAAATATGCTCTAATGTATGCATATAACAATCAGGTTAGTCCTGGTCACCTTAAAAACCTTGTGCTGCTTTATAAATCCTCATAATGCCCTTGCCGTGCTGCCAGCTCCCATGGTGTTTCATGATATGTAGGGTTTATCATCAAACCCCAGATCCTTAAGTCACATGCTTTCTTAAGAACCCTGCCTGCAGGGTTAGAAATCTGACTTAGAAATGTGACCCAAGTTTTTCCTAACAGCTCATTACACAAAAAGCAATAAAAATTTTAAATGAAAACATATGTATATTTATTAGGTTACTTATTTTTAACTAATTATTTCCTCCTGATTTTGGAAGGGTAGGTGTCTGACTCATGCTCCATTCCTTATTCACTCAGAGGCTGAGACCATGAACACAAGCTTTCAGAATATTAAAATTGATGAACCAGATAAGGGCCCTTAGCATAAAATTAGCAACACAGAACTGTCCAGGTTTCCTCCCTCACCAAAGTTTGCTTTCTTGGGAGTAATCCATACAGAAATGCATATCCCAAGTGTGCTGTTTTAAATTGGGTGCTGTATACTGCTCTACACTTTACATAACAATCTTCTTTATGAGCTAAAGGAGATAAATACAGAAGGTGGAACAGTGACTGCCTTAGAAAAGTCAGGCTTCTGGCTACAATTAAATAAATCCAAGTGTAGACTGAGCATAAGCTGCTACGAGGATTAGGAAAAGCATAAATGAACCCACATTTTTTGACAGCCGGATCTCTTCTGGTAACTGGATTCATTCATTGTGTTCTACCTTCAGCCGGAGAGCTGGCACTCCCCTTTTGCGCTCACCTCTCTAACACAGCTTTTGGGGGTGTGCTTGGGCAGTAATAGTTCCTCCAGTAAAAACTGTTAGCAAAGTTAGAAGGAAAAAAAGTACTTTGACTCCTCTGCCAAAGTTCAGAATGCAGTCTAACACCATAATGTGATTATTGCATGCCTGGAAAAAAATATTAATTCAGTTTAGCTTGAAGACACTTATCACAGCTCATGAAAAACAGAAGGAGGAGGCAATTGTTGAGGACAATTGCGCATCTCACTTTGTCAGTGTGTGAGGTTTTGAAAAATACTCAATCTGCTTTCTGATTTTGCTACTGAATGTGTTTGCTCTTCCAAAAAAAAATAAATGTCATAAACGGCAGTAATCCACTGCAATAGCCAACAGCAGAGAAAAATGCCAGCTTTTGTAGCACTCACTCATGCAACCATGCGTACTGCAGAAAATTATATCCATGTTTTTTTCCCATAAATAGATATTAATCCATTGCCACAATTCTAATTAATCAAAAATAAAACAATAGTGACATATGTAAAATTAGAGTTTTCTTTTGATCTCACTCTGACAAAGGAAAACTGGGATCCCTAACAACTAGATCTTTATGTAAGACTATGTATGTTTAGAAAAAAAAGGAACAGACTGTCACATGAAGTACAGGCCTCTCCACAGGCAATGGAAAAGCACATCTGCACTTCAGGGTCTTCTGTTACTGCTGCTGGCAGATGCTAACAGCCTTAATTTTTACCAAGAAGGCACACAAAGGTCCTTTGTAGTGTTTCAGACACAAACTTCTTTGAAACACTGGGTACAGCTGTTCAAAAAGAATCTCCAACTCTCTTCTGCTGATTTACACATAAACACACATACTCTAGAGTCCTATACACATATATAGGCATATATAGGCACGCTAATACCCTGATCAAACAAAAACAATTTACATTTGCGTAACCAGTTGTCAGTTGCCACCTGGTTGAGCCTTTTTCCTACAACTCAGGATGAGCTGAGCAGATGCCCAAGATGCATGCAGGACTTCAACTTTTTTTTCAGTCTTAGCTCAGCTTGTTCAACCATGCCCTGTATCTCTGCACACATATATTTGTCAGACATTACTTTCCATTCTTATCTTTGCTTATTCAGCTGAAGAGAAAAGCCAGGCAACATTCTCCTCTTAATGAGTGGGTTCAGTCAGCAAGACGGGAACTGAGATCTCAACTTGTACACAGCTATCAATAAAGACACACAAATCTATACATCACTTTCAGGTGCACTTTTAAGTCCACGGCTTCACAAATGTTTCTGACTTCTCCAATCATTTTCAGCTAACATATACCACATAATGAAGCTATTTAAAACCAATTTACCCTCTTGATAAATAATATAATTAACAATTTAGAATGATAAGGAGAAAAAAAATCTTATCTTTTACCAAAGCCAGAGAAAAACCCAGAATAAAAACTCTATCAGGAAGGCAATCTGCTAAAAACCTTAAGGCTGACTTTTCTCAGCAGAAAGGATGAAATGAAGCCTCTTTAATGAAACAAACAAATGAAAAAAAAAAAAAGGAAAAAAGAAAAAAAAACCCCAATTCAAAGTAAAACAAATAAATTCCCACTTACTCGTGAAGAAGGCAAGGACAATAAAATACATACACTGATTCTAGTGCTATTCCTATTCAAAAATTGTGGCCTCAATCTTTCAAGACCCTGAGAAACACTTTCAGGAAAGACTGGGCTCTTTCAAAGATTTTTCAATAATTTTACATGAGTTCTTTGTGGTGTGGTCAGCCAAGATGGGCAAAAGAACACCCTAAAATCATTCATAACACTTATATGGCTGTTGTAACATTCATCCATCCAGTATTTGAGACCTGGACTCTAGGAAATAAAGCCAAATATTACCTTGCTTTCCATGTGACTTTCCCCTTTAAAAGACATAAAGATGGACAAGAACTAAGCATCCAAGGTACAAATAGCTGAAGTGGGCAATATACATTTTAAACAGCTGAGTATCATGTGGGCACGCTTGATTGAAATATTTCCATTTGTATTGGTGTCATATGAGCTATTCACAGCTACTATTTGGCAGCCAACAAAACAATTGTTTGCACTTTATGGACTATGGCCATGGCTGTATCTCGTGGCATTCAAATTTTTTGATAGGAAACATAGTTTTGCCATTATTTTCAGGCTACTTTTCAATTAATTAATATATCACAGATAAACCATGCTAACAAAAACATTGTTTCTTAAGATGCAAGAAAAATAGATGTGTTTTACATAAAAATATTTTTTTTTCACTCCTACTTATCCTCTTTTTTGGTGGGGATAATCTCATCCATCTTCTCATTAGCTCATTCTCTGTAAAATAACTCCAGGCAAAAGCCTATTGAAATGTCTAATATGAACCAGAACAGCTTTGACCAGTTCTGATATTGGTTACACTCTAGCTGGCTAAGAAAACATAGCTCAAAAATATGAAGGATTTTTACTGCACAAGAAACATTATTAGAAACACATTTTCCTTTGCAGAAAAATGAAAACAGGCAGCAAATGTAAAGAAAAAAAATCCATAGCTTTGGTAAACCTCTCAGATATTATTATGTTCAGCAATTTGCTACCTTAGTGTAACTGGTTATATAGAAGATGAATATCAGGCCTAAATATCTCACATTGGGAAAACTAAATTTGATATGATATCAGGGAAGCAGGGAGTTGCTTCTCACAGCAAAGTCCACATGCACGTTTGCCTTCTCTCAGGCCACAGAAGCTTCAAAACACTTCATTCTTAATAAAAAATGAATGTCCAGTATTTATGACAACTTTCTAGTACTGCTAAGCTCGTGCTGGGACCAAAATAAATAAATCTCTGTAAAGAAAACAGATCATAGTTCCAACCCTGTTATAACTTTATCACTCTCAGTTTCAGTAGTTACCTGCTACTTTGCCATACATATACGAACTATAGCAGTCGAAATGAAAAAGCATTTATTCTAGAGATCATAGTTCTAGGTCTGAGTGAGAGTTAGACCAGTTTAGCTGAAGAGTAGTAAAGATATCTGTGTAAGTTACGGGAAAAGAAAATCATACCTGTTGTTTAGAGTTTGGATGAAGACATTATATAGTTCTAATTTCATATAAACATTTTATACAGTTTCTAGTTGTTAACAGTACTGAAAAGAAAGCAGACTTGCATTTTTAAGTCATAGTTTGAAACCATTCCGGGGACAGTGTTGATGCAGTTCAAGCCTCACAGGATGCATATTGCAGTGCTTTGGATGAAAGATGACAAAATCCAGTCACCAAGTTGGAGGTAAAGAAGGGAAATATGGAAGAGAGGAGGCAGAGCAGGGAAGCTGGACAGCACTGAAATAACTAACAAAACCAGAGAAACAGATAGGGTTACACAGAGATAGAAATATAGATTAATGTAAAGAATACTTTGATCTTGATGAACGGTGAGAAGAGCTGCTATAAGAACAGTTAGGAAGGTATCAAACCCACCCATGAAATATTAATCTCAGGTAAACTAAAATAAAAAATATCACATTAAGAAGCAATTATATTTACAGAAGTCACAGTTTACAGCTGCAAAAACAGGCTCATAAAAGACTTTCTTTATAAAGCGGATCATTTCACCATTTCTCACTAGTAAGAACTCGGTTTTCAAACCACTGAGTCTTTCTTGGAAAGTTTTTTTAAAAGTAGAACTTGGGTTTTGGCTTACTATTTTCTAACAAATAGAAATTTCCTCCTTGGAATAATTCTCATTAGATCTTAATTGTTTTTACTGGCTTTTTGGTTTTCATGCCAGATAACACAAGTATGAATGAAGGCAGCTGAGAAAATGGATTATTTGGATTTGTAACTTATATGGCAGTGAATAAAAACATGGTGGCAAAAACTGTACCGGTTTCGCCTACACACATGCTTGAGAGGTGAAATAATAGCCAAATTTTCCAAGGTGTCACCAAGAAAGCAGCTATTTTTCATAAGGTAGAAATTGTAAATTTTGCTGGGTTTAAACAGGTTGGCAAAACTCAGAAAGTAGGAAAAGTAAAATTATTATAGAAACTAAGAGGAAACAATGAACAGCCATTGGCAGTTTATGTCTGCATAGATGAGTACTACGGATTTATGGTATTCATCTAATAAATGCTTTGTAGCCTGCACTCAAACCACATAGAAACTGGTTAATGATGGATACACAACTCAGCTATAAATGTGGTCTCATTTTCACTTTTTTTCATTGTCCCACTCTGCCTCTTCTGTGGTTTAATTCTGATAGGCAGAACCTGTCCCTCTACCGATATCAATACTCTTCTACTACAGATCCGTGTTTACCAGTGAAGGCAGCAATAGCAGACCCATGTCAATTAGGTCTATGAAACTGGTAGTTACAGTCTTTCATCAAGAGGCTGCTTTTTCAAGTGCAGCTCAGTCAGTGCTAAAATGCTCTCAGTGCTGGAGAGATGTGCAAACACTGGTCAGATATGGTGGGTTCAGCATAGTTTGAAAACACCCTGGAAAGCCTTCAAATCAATTAGAATTTGGAGTTAATTTCTCATTTTTTCTCTGCTTTAGAGAACTAAGGGTCATTTTTCTCTTCATCAGTCTTTACCCCACTGATGTATGTCTTGACCCCTTGAAAGGAGATGCTTAAAGAACAGATTTAAGGCATAACAGGAGCCTTCAACTCTTCTGGAGACAGAAACATTGCGCTCTGACATAATGAAAAAAACAGCTTGTGCTTTCAGGTTATTTTCCTGCTGTATCAAATCTCATCCTATATGACCTTTCTTTGCCCGTCATCAATATTGCAACTTAATAGAGTCTAAATTAATTTTTATGGCAACTGAGAGTCTCCCATTCAAGTGAATTGTCCACTATTGCTAAGCTTCCTAGATCACACATACTCAGCTCAGAACGGACAAAGCAAATTCAGAAAATACTTTTCCTAAATAATTCATGCAGTTCTGCCATGTCAGCTCTTACTGGCTTTCTAAAGAAAACAGCAGAGCTGCTTACAGAAATTGCTTTCTGCTTTCCTAGGCAAGAAAAAGCATGTGAGTAAAGCCAAATAAATAAGAATGGGTAGAAGAGGCACCAGGCAGTCTTCTGTTAACACAGAAAATAATGTTTCTGTTTCTTGTAGTAGTTATTTACAGTGACAGTTCAAAACATTTAATTTGCATAATGAACAGACTGACATATTACCTTGTGATGCATTCAGGGAGATATAATTAGCTGAGAAACCCTCAGATGCAATGCTGTGATCAGTCACGAAGTACAACATCATCATGTTGCCACCACTAGTGAGAGATGGTGGAATTGATCTTCCACAGTACCTGCAGCAAAAAGATGTCCCAAATTGAATGGCAGTATTTTGTGCAGAGTCTGTATTACTGGAAAAGGATTCAGCTTTCCTAAGAAATTCAAACACCTACACATACACAAATCTCTCCTTTGGGTGATACAGATCCCAGCCATATATGCTGTATCACGGAACTAAATAGCACACTTCAGGTACAAGAGTACAAATCTAACTTGTGTGGCAAAGTTAGAGGAGAAACTGTTCATCAAGTTGTCAAATTTTTATTGAAATTATTCAATGCTGTACCTACAACATATTCTGTTCTTTTGTAGGAGTCGGAGTGGCTGGCCAAAGACTGAAGTTGCAAAACACTCTCCATTATGAGAGTCATTTGCTCCTTATTTTCCAATATACTGCCCTGTCAGCCAACTACTTTACATTCTGTAGCTGCAGCTGGATACCGCTCCCAAGTAGTTCAGATGTTCTTGAATTCTAGAGCGGCATGAAAGCCCTCTGTATACCCCAATTGCAAAGGAGGGAAAAAAAAGAAAAGATTCTTCCCTAAGATAAAATCACATATCAGGAGAAAGTGAAAACAAAATCCTATAAAACACAGACTTTGGTTTAGTTTTTACCGAGATCCAAATGCACAGTCTTTTAAGTAATCTTCCTTTCACTTCTGCAAGTGTTTCAAACCATATCTTTTCCTGGGCACAGATATATTAATGCTTTTGTGGTTATTTCCCATAAATCAAAGTGTTAATGGAGCTGGACAATGTCAGCTATTGAAAGCTGTCCTTAAAAAAGCTAGGACAAGCTTTCAATAGCTGGCAAGTTAGTTTCTCCTGGTATAGTATTTAGTAGATGTGCATCTCATTCCATGGTTAAAAGCAAGCAAGCAAGCTGCCTTTACTATCCTAGGCAGAGAAATTGCTGCTATTTTTCTGTAATGCAGAGAAGTTAATGTATACACAAAATTTAAGGAAGCAAATTGCATGTCAAGATCTACAGAACAGTGCTCACTCTACAGTAATTCAGCTCTTTAGGCTAATGGACATATTCACCTTCCTAATTTTTGCACAGTGCTGTTGTCATATATTTCAAGATAATTGTTTGTGCAACTGTAATCAAATGCCAAGTTAAATGAAGTGAATGTCAGGCGGATAAGGTAGCCAGATTGAATGCTGATAATCCAGGTACAGTTAATACCATGTGGGTAGACATCTGGATGACCAGGACTTGTAATGATTCCTTCTGGTCCAGTGAGAGTCTCTTGACATACTGTAGAGATTTAAAACATCAGGTTAAATGACATATTTATTAAAAATACGCACTTACATAAATGGATATTTTTCTTTCTGAAATTTCATAGTCTTTTTTTTTTTTTCTTGATGCATACTGCACAGTAACTTATTCAGAATTTATCTCCCATTACACCATCATAAAGCTTGATAGCCAACTGTTTTCAGTGTATGGGAAAATTTGGAAAGTCCCAACACTCTACACAGAAAACAACAAAAAACTCCTTACCTGTATCTGATGGCCAGTACTCAGCTCTGAAGCCAAGGTTGGTAAGAGAGGAAGCTCTGAATTTGATATAGAGATTGTTCCGTGTAGATTGCACTCTAGATGGAACAGCTGTACCACAGAATTTCTCCAAAAGAGGAGAGTCTGTGTTGTTGCCATCTCTGACCTGAAGAACAGTGTATTCAAAGTATCCCATACAAATTTCTATTATATTAAAGTTGTAAGCATAAATGAATTCATAAGAACCATATAAAAGGGATCCATAGTAAGTCAAACCCTACCCTTTCTTCACCATGCTTTCTACTACAGGTACATACAATGCAACCTTACACCAATCAGAGAAGCACTCTCCCACTCAAAGCATATCAGATGGAGAAAAGCTGAGATCTTACACCCTCAAGAGTAAGTGGCACATAAACCTCCAAAACCAGGTCTATCTCTATAAAAACACCTGATACTAGTCTCTGATTATCAAAATGGTCATATCATCTTTGGAGAACCTAGAAAAGGTTTGGGATCCCATTATGAACCTGGAAAAGCTTTTATAACTCCTGTAAGAAATGCTTGTCTGTCCAACAGTTCTGCTTTTGTGGAGATGAGTATGAGAAGGAATATACAGATAAGAATGTATCTACTATTCATAGTATATGTGTATTATTCTTTACCTCAACGTAGTCTGAGTCACAAGTGGTTGTATTTCGAATGTCAAAGTCAATAAAGTTAAGAATCACCACTTTGCTAGCTGGCTGGGAGATGATCCACTCACAGGTCTTTGGGTGAGGGGACATCCTGGGGTAGTAAGGTGAATGGATAGTGCCTGCTCCAGACAAGGAGCCTCCACAGGCTGCCAAGAGACACCAAGAATCAGTACTTGTCGTGAATGTTTTCAAGGATCGAATAATGTGATGTCTATCAAATATTACTATGAAATTAGAATAAAACCACACATAAAACCCTGTCTTCTTATAGCATCTAATACAGACCATCCAAGTAGCATTAAGAACGTATTTAAGAGAACATATTGCTGTAAGTATAGCTTAAACACATATACAGAAGACCAGTCCAACTGTGCCCAGGAAAACTAATGGATTAGATTCATTTGTTTAACAGACATAAATAGATTTGTTGGTGATTAAGAAATAAAAGACAGGAAAAATGAAAGCAAAAATATTTAGGCAGAATTATGGCTATATCATCCTTGGTATGTTGGTGGTAAGCGATTTCCCATCAATATAAGCAACAAGGGGTGCATTTCCAAGTGTGCTAGCAGTGCCTACAACAGACCTGCTGCAGATATCATCTTATCATTTCTAAAAGTAGCAATAAATAAATAAATAGTCTCTATTTTTTCTTTCTTTTGAAGTTTGCCTTAAACCCATTATATGGATAAGATACCATGGAAATGACTGAAAGTGTCCAAATTACAGATCAGTTCACTGTGCAAATAACCAGTTCCTCTTACCAACTTGATAAACAGCCCTAAAGCTAGCCCTTTGCACAGAAGCATCAGACATGAACTTGATCCAGAGACTGTTGCTGGTAGAAGTGATTGGAGACACGACTGTACTATGACAGAATTTGCTAATCAGGGAAGACATCTCCCTGTCGCCATCTCGAACCTAGTCATCAAAAAGAAAAAAAGGAAAAATGTCAGACCATAAAAGCATTGGGATCTGATATCTGGATAAAATTATAATCTCCCAGGAGCTGCTAAATAACAAGAGGATTAACTATTTTACTTTTTTACAAGAGGGCAGAGCCATGACAGTAATTGGTACAAGCACATGATTTATGAGAGCTCAAATCAGGGACTGGATGATCAGCACAGAAGACACCCACACATGCTACTGTCACAGGACATTAGGATGAAACAGATCTCGGCTTTAGTGCAATTTGGGCCTATACTTCCAAAAGTGATACCTTTAGTATGAAAGAGACAAGTAAGGTGCTCACCAGTGATAGCTATGACATTTTTGCCAGCACTAAAATCTGCTGGGGAAATAAAGGGGTATTTGTGATTTTCTTGTTTTGGCTATAAAGCTTCTAATAATTTTTCAATGGCACTTCTCCAGAAAAAAAGTGCATCCCATCACACCCATACATCATTTCAGCCAGACAGCTCACTAACAGAGATGCACCTCTGAATCCCTAAAGCAGTAAAGTATACTGACATCTCTCCATTACTTTATCTGAAGGATCCAATGCATGATAATGACAATGAAGCTGCATCAAGGAATCACTTTCAGCTTTTACCTTCTACGCTACCACTCTACTGACCTGAATCAATTTTCTAATCAAAGGAGAAATGTATCTCATGTGTTTTCCCAGGAATTATAAATCCTGATTATCAAGGGGACTAGAAGAGAAAGAGGTATTTGCACCTCTGAACTTCAGACCCTGAACCCACAAACCATGGGTAAGAATACATGCATCCAGGGGACCAGGCAGAGCACTAGTATAGCCAAGGAGTTCTGAACACCCTCTGAGGTGCCCAAGAGGGCAGCCAACAAGCCGGGGTCCAAAAAACAGGTCCCCTGCTACTTGCTATTTGAAATTTTTCTCCCAAAGATTCTCATAAAAAGAAAGCATCTCTTTTCTGCTGTAGAAGTGGTGGTACATCATGTAGCTGGAGCTGCTTTTAAATGCACCTAAATGCTGTTGACCCCCAAAAATCATTGTCAAAGCCAGGGACATCCAGCTTTCTGGTCCCCTCTCATCATCAAAAATGATCAGAGGGCTGGAGCACTTCCCATACGAGGACAGACTGAGAGAGTTGGCGTTGTTTAGCCTGGAGAAGAGAAGGCTCCAGGGAGAACTTCTAGCAGCCTTCCTGTACTTAAAGGGGGACTACAGGAGAGATGGGGAGCCACTCTTTATCAGGGAGTGTAGTGGTAGGATGAGGGGTAATGGATTTAAGCTAAAAGAGGGTAGAGTTAGATTAGATATTAGGAAGAAATTCTTTACTGTGAGGGTGGTGAGGCACTAGAACAGGTTGCCCAGAGAAGCTGTGGATGCCCCATCCCTGGAGGTGTTCAAGGCCAGGCTGGATGAGGCTTTGAGCAACCTGGTCTAGTGGAGGGTATCCCTGCCCATGGCAGGGGGCTTGGAACTAGATGATGTTTAAGATCTCTTCCAACCCAAACCATTCTATGATTTTATGATCTCTTCCTTCCTCCTCAGCTGCATTCCTCCATGGACTGGGAGAGAAGGCAGGGGACCCTTATCGGTGCCCTGGTGAGCAAACAGTGGCTGACCTGCTTGCCCAACTTTGGCAATCATCTCCAGTTGATGAGATGGCTTTCTGACTAACAGATATTTTTAATTTCCCTGGGACTTGAGTTTAAGGTGACAGAATTATTCTGGATTTACAGCAGAGCAAATTAGATCAGAATTTGTGCCAGAATAATTAGAAAATTTTTGGACAGCAATTAAAGTTTCCAGAAGTGTAGTTCACAGGAGTTTACATTTTTTTTCTTGAGCTAATTCTCCTGACATTTTTGGTTTATAAAGCCCAGTGAGTAGTGATAAAAATAACAGGTTCTCTAAACCCTGTGTGTAATGTCAGCTATTGCCAGTTGGAAGGATGGCAAGGAGAAGGGGCTGCTTTGGCTAACACCTTAACTCTGCAGCACCATGTTGCAGTCTTTCTTAAAAAAAGAAGTTTTATTGTCTTTAGTTTCTTATTGCAGATCCCTGGTCCCAGACTGTTCCTTTCTCAGTAAGAGACTAAACATCCCTCCCTGAGCAAATGTCTGTGAGCTGTGTTTGGCCCCTGTGAAAACTCTGCAAGTTTCCTGGTATTGCCAGGGATAGGAATAATCTGTGACTTTTCAAAGTGACAAAACAAGTGTCAGAGAGTTACTTTTAAAGTAATTTAAACACCCAAGAGCTATTTCCTTAGCCGAACTTCATTGTAAAACCCAGTGAGACAGTACTTCAGAAAAGCAGATGTGGAAAATCAGGCCTTGATAAAATGTCAGTCAGAAGATGTCAGTCCTCTTTCTCTGCTTGGGGTTGAACCACCGAGTGAGAGGGCAGGAAGAAGAGGAGGACAGAAACACACAGGGAAACTGAATTGCTTGTGACTGATCAGCAAACAGTGAGGTAAATGCCTTGCTGAACTAATACAAACTGATCGCGTTCAACAGAAATGGTTTTGTTTCTCTGTCTGCTGTGAATTTAGCTGCTGTGCTGCCAGCAATTAGGCAAGAGGAGTACCAGGCCAAACAAACAAAAGCTGTCTGTTTTCATTAAACACACTTCCCCTCTCATTTCAGAAATTAATTACACTTCATTCCAACCAAAGTCTCTGAATTAGAGAAGGAGGGAAGGGAACGACGTCAGCATAATAACATCTTTTAAAAACAGATTAACTGCACGGAGCTCACAGGGACCTATTTCTTGCTTGGTCAAGAAGAGATTAAGCACAAAGCCAAACCCACTGCCATGTAACTGCGTAGCTGCCAGCTATGCAGGACGCAGCTCTGTGCTGGGGCCGCAGGGCTTGCTCCCACCTGCTGCAGCCGTGGCGGCACCTTCACTCATCCACCCGGTGTCTGTGCCCTGTTTGTTTTTCTTCTGTTTACCTCTGTGTGGTACAAGCATGCTTTTAGACGGACAGCGGTACCCAGCAGTCATTCCATGCAGGGTGAGGTATTTATGACTGTATGGAGAAATACAGGCTGGGTACGACAGCAGATGCCTTGAGGTGTGGTGAGTCAGGGTGCAGTGCAGAGGAGCAAAGGGATGGGTGATGGGAGAAGGGGTGCGGGCCACCGACCTAAAGAGTTTGTCAGGCCCAAGGGCATCACCAGGACTCACTGGCCCAACCTGGCCTCCTCTAGGGCCCCCACACCCTGCCCAGAGCCCAGGACCCTGCATCAGCCCCTTGGGGACATCAGTCCCTGCCCCACCGACCCTGCAGCAGGGCTGATCTCCAGCTCCCCACAGCCTGGCCGTGGGCTCTGCTGCACCAGGCCCACGTGTAGGCCCACATCACAGCCCGACCTTGGCCTGTGCCCATCCCGAGGGAGGTTCCTGGTTCCTGGGGCTGCCTTGCTCCCTGGCCAGGGCAGCAGGATGGGCCCTGAGGCCCCCATGGGAGCCCCCGGGGCCTGCACAGCAGCATGCCAAACCTCACTGCGGTCAGTTAAGGGAATGCAGACCTGGAGCTGGGCAAAACTGGGTTAGGGATGACAAAGAAAACAAAGAAATGGTACCTAGCATACTTGAAAGGTACCATATAGTAGTAAATTTGGATGTAACATGAAGCTGCAGACCAGTGAAGAAAGAGCTAGGTGTAAAAGCACTTTAGCAAACATAAAAATAACCTCAAGTGGATCTGAGATAGCATCAACATTATTATTGTAGCATTATTATTATTATATTATCCATATAGAAGCATTCTAACTGTACTATTATGTTTTCCATAATAATTAGATTTAGACTAATAACAATTCTTGAATTAGACTGCTAAGATTTCAGTTATACTAACAATAAACTCCTGGCTTTACATATGTATATGTGTACATATATGTATGTATATACAAATATATCTATCTACTGTACTTGCTTTTTGCCCCAGAACAAGATTTTCAGTATAACACCATGACTCCAGAAAATGTTCCATAGTGGCTGTGGCATTATTTCTATCTTTCTTACATTTGGCATGTATTTACCTAAGGTCCAAACTCCACCTTAATCACGTACAGCCAATTAAGAATCAGTGTTAAGCTACACAGATTTTCTTGTTCTCCTATCTTTGCTTCATTCCAAATGTAAAGTTCTGCTCTTTTAGCCCCTGTGACTTTTGGACCTTAATAAATTGGTATACTTAGTCCTTTGATTAACTTCTATTTCTGCAGTGGCTCTTGGGACAGAAATTATGCATCACGGTTTGGTACACACATGTAATCAGCCTTTCATATCAACTCTTTAAGAGAAGTCACCTCAATATAATTTGATGAACAACCAGTGTGACTCTCCAGCTCCATGTGGGTGAAGTTGAGGTATATTTTTTCATCCTCTGGCTGTCTGATGATGTAGATACATTGCCGGTTACTGATATAAGGGTTAGGCCAGAAAGGGGATGTGATAACCCCTTCACTATCCGTGTAATTTCCTCCACAACCTGGATCAGCTATATTAAGAAAAAAATATATTAGTTGAGACAATCACAAGCATGGTAACTCTTTCAGTTTAGGATGCCTCTGTACACTGGCTCCAAATCAAAGAGGCTTTCTGTATTAGTAAGTAGCGAGTGTTAATTACATCCATTTAGCTGCTGTTGGCTATGTCGGGAATGTAACAGACCAACCTTTAATGCTGAATTTTACTTACCTGGAGATGTTGTATAGACAATTTGGAAGCCTTTGTCAGTAACTAATTCATCAGAGTGAAAGTGAATCCATGCATACGGACCAGTGGTTAGGAGTGGGGGTGGAGATCCAGTGCTACAGTATTTACCAAGGACAGGGTCTTGAGGAAGAAGACCATCTCGAATCTAGACAGAATGAGAGATCAGCATTTAGGATTATTAGATGGGTGCCAACTGTGAACAGTACCAACACTCTTAAAGTTATCTTGGGGGCCCCAGGAGATGTTGTAGATCATGGGTGGAGGGAAAGCTCATAGGAAGTTTCCTCCAAATACACAAGAACCAAGAAACACAGCTGTGCTGGTGGGTCTAGGAGAGTTATCAAGGGCTTTGCGAAAGGGAAAGCGCATCAGGAGATCTACTATTGAACTGTTTTCCTGAAATAATTTTCTACACTGCACAGTTTTGGAGAACATGCAATTTCAAGCCATCTTCTCATTCCATGACTGGGTATTTGTGAATTCTGTAACCATTACTTTGCGCTTGAGAGAAAACCCTAAGCTCACACATCAATTCACGGACTGCACTATAGTATGAATCCACTAATCTTAGATCCCTTTCTCTAATAGTTTCCCTTAGACTGCTTAATTCTCTGTGGGTTGACATTTGACAAGGAGTTTGGAGACTGAACTTTGTAAGGAAGTGAAAACTTCCTATCAGGTATTTGGCCTGAATCCCATCCTCTTTAGTCACAAGACTCCCACTGTGTTCAGTAGAGTGGGATATCATCCTCTTTCTGTTATACTGCCTGTATCTAAGTGTGCATGGATGGCTGGAATGAGCATCTCAACCCAAGATTTAATTTTCAAACAGACCCCTTCTGTATGTACAAAAAGTTTTGAAATATCTTGTTTTGCAATAACATAGCCATAAAATGTTGTCATAATCCACAATCAAACTTTACCTCTAAATAGTCATAACTACAATTTTCATGGTGTTCTAGGCTCAGTGTGCCAAAAGCAAATGTGATGAGGAGGCCAGGACTGGTTGAGATGGTCCAGAAACAGTCTCTGTTTACAGGATAGTTACCAGGGTATCCTGGAGAGCTTATCAAGCCGTAAGTTCCTGTCAGCTCACCACCGCATTCTAAAATAAAAGAAACATGGAAGAACACTGCATGTCGGGTCAAAAGATTAATTCTCCTGTAGTGTCAAAACTAGGTACCACTTTGGGATCCCGAATAAATTCAAAAACAAAGAGCAAGCCAAACAAACCAACAAGTTACTTCTTTCTCTAAATTTTGCAACTGATTCCGCAATTCAGTTATAAAATCAGAACTCCAAATATTTCCTGATTTGTACAGTATCAAAATCACTGTGTTTTGGTGTATTTACAAATTAACCTGAATTTCTGTACTTTGTAAATAGTCTCCATGCACAAGACTGTTTTAATTTAAATAAAAATGTTAATTACAAGAAGGGCTGGTTTATATACCCATAATTAAAAAAAAACAACATCTCTCTCAGCATAACAGTTGAGAGTGGTAGGGTTAATTTGTGTGTTATACCTAAGGAATAGCTAGTTTAGTCACATCTATACCTCTCTCCCTCTTTGCCTTTTTTTTCCCCAAAAAGATCTGTTTTCACTTTTCTGTATCCATATTTGTCAATTAGTAATTATCTATCTAATAATGTCAACTGAAAGAAAAAAATAACAAAAATCACATTAAAAGCATTTCAATAAATATTTCTGGAAATAAAGAAACCATTTCTCCCCTGAATTTTCTATACGTTTTTATACTCTATGGTTCTTTCGAGACAAAACGTAACCCACCATTTTGTTTCTAGACTCTACACAGAACACTGAAGTGAGCTTGATATTGCATAACATCATTTGAGGTTTATCTCTAGAAATGCATTGCCAGACCTCCTGGAAGAATCACACAAGTGGTATTACCAAGAATCCAGGCAGATAAGTACAGCAAATCATACCAAAAAGCTCACAGAGAATTTAAAATCTAATTCACAGCAATCTATCATGTTTGGAAAGCATGGTTTAACTTCTTTAGCCTCTTGTAAATTGCCAGTGGCAAGAAGGGGTAACTTGCATGCTCAAAATACCAGATACTTCTGTGAGAAAAGAGAACTTAATCAGAAGAACCATATCTCCAGGAACACATGCTCTTTAGGGGATTCCTCACAGGAAGTGTAAAGCAGCCTTAAAAAACAGCAGAAGGTTATTCATGTACAGGCCTAGGGTTGGAGTTCAAATATTTTAAAATTACATAGATGTCTAGATTTCAGCCTCACTCCCTAGTAAAATACTGTCCTACTGCTCCTAATGTTTCCTGATTTAAGGAAAAGTCATTCATTTTGCTCCAAAGTAATGAAAATTCTAAATTACATTACATTTTATCAAACTTACCAGGATCTCGAGATTCCCACTGAACAGTAAAACCTCCAGCTGTAATGGTGTGGTTTGAGTAGAACCAAAAATACAGGGAATTGTGGGAACCAAAAAGTTCTGTAGGAGGTGAGGAGCCACAGTATTTTCCCAGCATATGCATTGATGCTGAAGGCCCATCGTGGATTTGAAGGAACTCAGAGTTACAGTCATTACTTGTCTCCAGTTGGAAGAATGGGAAAATAATATGCAGGATCTAACAGGAAGTAGCAAAATAAGAAATCTATTTTTTTCCATCTGCTGCAACAGTGTTTATGCATTAACTCTGCAGACAGCAGATGCATTTATTCATGCAACTGTGAAAATCTACGAGCTTTGGAGCCATTACACCATTTCCTGAAAAGCTCCAGGACAGATTAAGATATTACAGAATTTTAAGGGTCAAAAGAAAAGAGAGAAGACAGACAGGAAAGAATTTGGACAGGGAAGTTGTCTGGAAAGAGCATTATTTCTATAAACTAATATTTAAGACCATTTGCCTTCATCTGTTATATATGTGGAATATATTTATGTGTATATTTCAAGCCATGTGAAAGGCTTGAAATACAGCATAAAATACTTTATTCCAGGTTTCCCATGGCATTTTTCTCATCACATAATTAACATTTCCCATCCTTGCTATGGTTGAAAATATTGTCATGGGAGCTAAAAAACTGAAATTATCTTCTTTTGCACACATAAAATCAGTGTCTCATAACCCCACTCTAGATACTTAGTGACATGTACAGCTTTATGTATGTTCAGATTCCTCACTGATGTGCTTTAATATAGCTCTGCTGAAGCACCATTGGTCTCAGGCTTAGAGATGAGGATATGTCACAGACATCTATATAATGCTGTATAAACCACTAACAATCACTGGTTTATAGAACTACTTATTTCATTCCATGAAATGTCAAAAATAGATCAAATATTTAGATCTCAAGTAAAAAGTCCCATGCTAAAGTGTAAAGTAACGTATTTGGTAGTTGTTATGTATAACACAAGTGGAATTGTTAGTTGCAGATCAGAATCAGAATATAATTTGAGTGCAACATTTAAAAATTAATCCTTAAAAAAAATCACATGCTGTCATTACACAAAGCCTGTGATGATCTGAATTCAGCATTCCACATTTTTGGCACTCAGAAATCAGAAACATGAAATTGTTCTGGGGTCACTTAGCTCAAGAACCAACTGTGGAGCCCATCAGAGCAGAGCTTTTCTTGTGCAGCTATTCACAGATCACATGCTAAAGCAATGTAAAACAGGCACCTTTTCTAGGTAGTGGTAGGTGAGCAAATTCTAACCCTCAGCTGCACAGGAAAAACCTTGAAAATGTAACCCAGGTGAATTCTCAGTCTAAGGAGCCTGAAGGCTTATTCTTTTTGAAAAACTATTTATTCTGAGGGGATTGGATCACAGTATTGGAATATGTGGCATGAAGATGGTGACATTACTCTGATGCACTGAGGGGTCCTGCAGAGTGAGGGTTTCTTTAAGCTGAACTCTATTTTACCTTGTTGGGATTAGTTTGAATAACCCAAGCACAGCTGACCCCAGTGCTGTACTGCTGGCTGTTTAGGTTGTTAGGGTAACTGAAAGTCCCACTGGAGCCTGAGAGATATCCTCCACAAACTGCAGAAAGAGAGAGAAGATTAAACGGATTAATTTGTGCTATCGCTGTCCAGACTTGAACAAAACCTAACCTAACAAAACCTCAGGATTTCCTCTAAAATGGAATGACATCACAAAAAATGAGCAAAATTACTCCCTGAAAGAAAAGTAGTTCTTGGAAAAAGAACAAAGGTTTTCAGCTAGAATATGTGGCTACTGCCAAAAGATGTTGATTCTGTCTCAGAAAAATGTCCATAAACTAGTTTGCTTCAAGAAGGCTACCTGCAGATTGAATCTTCAAATTTTTGATCTATAATGAAGTAACATTTTGAACTTAACATGATATAAAATTGTCTTTCTCAGTAGCGGTGCATCATAGCAGTTATCTTTCAGATGACTTATTGTCCCATTTATTCTTTTTGGTCAGATTTCTGGACCTGATAATACTTCTCATTATATACTGTGGTCTCTTCTGTCACTGAGCCATTCAATGAATGGAAGCTGTGAACTGGGAATCCCAAGCAGCTACAGAAAAATATGTCCATAGAGCACCCAAAATACAATGCACATATAGCTACAGTGTACAACGAGCAGCTGTAGTTTAACATTGAACCAATGCTAAAGAAATATTCAATTCTTAGCAAACTGAAATGAAGTATTTTGTTTCAACGAGTGATAAACATATAATCTTGTTTAAAGTGTCTGTCTAAAACATTTCACCATTTCTCAATGAGATTCAGAATTATCATGTCATAAAATGTCATAAAATTTTTCACTTGATTAGAAACTAAAATCAAAGTTGATACATTACAATTTCTCACTGGATAAAACCTGGTTTTCTATCTCTTCTGTTATGAATGGTTAAGAATCAATTTTTTTTCCACATGTGCTTAATAATAAACCATTACTGGTTAGGTATTTAAGGAAAATAGGAAAGAGCTTGAAGTAGCTCTAAAATAGAACATATTTCACAGGGACTCTGTGAAAGTTTTACATTCTGTATTCTGTGAAAAGTTAATCTTCTTTCTTCACAGAAACCTGCAATAAATATGAGCCATCTGACAGATGGCTGCCACAGGGATGCTCACTGGAATGCTATCCTGACCTTGTTTAATTAAAATTAATGGAAAAAAAAAAAAAAACCCCAAACAAACAGAAAATGTCACATTAAGAAGAAATATTAAAGGCAGGACCTTGCAGTCACTCTCTAAAACTCAGAGTCCTCCACATTCATGGATAAGATTTTTTTCATTAGATTTCTGTTTGAAAACCTTTTCTGGCTTTTTGTCTCGACTGAAAATGACAGGACCTCTCAACTTCACAACAAATGACATAGTATGCACAAAAAAGAAATGTTAATGTATTTTCCTGTGAATCTATTATCTTTATATCAGATCCCCTTTCTCAACCAGCCTACCAGACCACTTTCTCAGGAACAGTGATCTGATTTTAGGCTGTCTAGCATCTAGGCAAGGCCAGTGGGCCTGCAGATCAACTTCATTGTTATGCTCCTATTGCTAAACAAAACAGCTACAAACAAAAATCATGGAAAACTCTGACTCCAAGGGACTTTGGTTTGGTACCTGTAATCCACAAAGAAGGGTTGGGTTTTTTTTCCCATCACAACTTGGTTCTTATTCACATATTAATCATATACACCAAGCATCTACTCGCTGAAGCCTGATGGCCCATTTCTCCTGGGGACGAGGTCCCGGCCATACCTTGCTGGGGAGTCTGGCACTGTGGTCCTGTCCAGGTGCTGGTGCACTTGCAGGAGTAGCCATTGACCCCATCGGTGCAGGTCCCCCCATTCTGGCACGGGTTGCTGATGCATTCATCAATGTTCTCCGTACAATTAGGGCCTGTCCAGCCTGCATTACACAGGCAAAAATATCCAGAGATCATTGCCTACAGGAATAAGCAAATGCAATACATTTAATGAGCATGGATCACCTAAACGAATCAACAGACTCAGCAGAAAGACTGATATTTACACTTATTTTGTGTGAAGACATCAGAGCAAAGAAATAAAACATTTGGATTTTAGTGGCCTTGATGGTCACTGGTGAATATCAAAATAAACCCGAAGCCTAATCAGGTTATCTAGCTCTTTGCTTCTTCTGTTAAGTTATTTCTTTGCAGGGCTCTTTCAAATTACTTTCTAAAAAGTAAAAATCCTTACTCATCTAGCTATTCAGAAAACTGTTTGCTTGGCTTTGAAATGATCACCCTAGAAACAAGTCAATCATACTATTTAAACCTTATAAATACCAAGTCAAGATAAATAGTGGTTTATAAATCATTTCTCTCAACCCTGTTCTTTGGGAAGTCTGCACTGCACGTGGGCTGTTAACTTTCATTCTCACCCTGAGGGATGTTAAATGGGAACAATTTCATTGCCTCCTCTCCATTATTCCTTATTCTGTATGTCTCCTCTGTTTATTTTGTCCCAATCTTTATTACTTCTCCTTATAATCAAGTCTTTCTGTATCTCTAACTTCTAATATCTTATGTCCTCTTTCCTTATATTTCTTGTTTTATAGACATGTTTTTTACAGGTAAAGCATAACATGGTATTCCAAGGTACTTGCTAACAATCCAGTCTTTGATGACATACAGTCAGTGTGCTATATCCTCTGTTTTGCATTCTCTGTTCATGTCCTCTGTGTCCTGAACAGAGATTTTCAGTATGATGGAAGAGGATTTTAATGTGTATTTAGGGCTCAGAATACTGCTTTAGAAGATGAAAAGGTGTTTTCTGATATGCATTGCCTGATATTTAATTAACATTATATTTCATCTGTCATTATGCTGGCCAAATATAGCTCTGCTATTCCTCTGTTTTATTAGATGCTTCGGTAGTCCTGTTACTGAAGTACCTGACTGTGTTATTATCTTTAAGTAGTAGTTTGTAGCCATGATTGCCTATGGTTGTATGTTAGGACATATTTAGGGGAAGATGTCATATCTTTTAATAGACAGACTAAACTGAATAGTTTCTAAATAGTCAGAAAAAGTAGATTGGATCTGGGCACAAAAGGCTGTTTAAATACCTCAGTGAAAAGACAATAGGTACCTACAGAAGAGAGAGCAAGGAATGCTAGTAAGGGCTGGAGTGCAGGTGAGGGGATCATTTCCTTTCACACAGGAAACAGCAAAAGGGTAAGGTAATATATCATAGAATCATAGAATCATTTAGGTTGGAAAAGACCCTTAAGATCATCAAATCCAACTGTTAACCTAACACTAACAAGTCCACATCATACGTCCCATTTTCCCCCTGCCTCCCAGGATCATCAAAAGGAGGATATCCACAGACCAATCTGGACAAATGGGATCAGACTCTACTGGAACAACAAATTTACCAGTTGCAAACATTTCTCCAAAACCATAATAATAAATAACCTCCACAACAGAATTATCAAAATCCCAAGGTCCACAGCACGGACTTTCCTGAGCACAGCACCCCTCACTGAGGAAGCCAAAAGGCCTTCACAAGGTCCATGTGGACAAACTAAATGGTCACTGTGCATAAGAATGAATTCACATCACCAATCAGTAAGGTACAAAACACTCAGCTACCAGCAGGAGTACAATCAATTCCCATGAAGCACCCTTTCTGTATCCATATAAACAGCCTGAGAGTTCAGGGGGGCTCTCACAAGATCATCTTAGGAACACATAACTAACTGTACTGGATATTAGAAGTCTGAAGGTCAGCAGAGGTACTGGTTTTATTATCATGGGTAATTCCTCCATGGTCCAAGGTGGCAAATTGCTTTCCTGTCCCACCAGGGACAGCCATTCATCAGTTCTCCCCCACCAGCACCAGCACCCATTTCTAGCCTCGGGTACCAGCTACAACTTCTTAGGTTATTAGTGCCAAGATTGTTGCCTCAACTTCAAACACAAAGAAATGGCTTGTGTGCCCTGAAACTCACTTTGTTTTCCCCAGGTATATCCATTGATCTCCCACTCCCTGCTGACCTTGCCTCATTACCTTTAGTATGTCTGCACTCAGCTTTCCGTCTCACCAGTCTCCCTGTTGTTACCGGTTATACCTACAAAGCATTGTCACAAATTGCAAGGAGCCCCGCACTTACCAAGCACTGCCCATTTGCACAAGGGTTTTGCAGCTGACAGATATCACTGAGAGGAGAGCACCCATTTGGCCCATATCCACTTCCAGTGTACCCAGATATGCAGGAACAAAATGGTATCAGCCCTTGGGAGATGAGACAAGATACAGAAAGTAATTTGGTCGTTGTTACAATGACAATACCAACCATGACAGTAAAGGTCCTTGACATTTTGAAGCAGAGCCTTTATATAATTCTAATTTATTTGATCTTTTGATACCTTCCCTGGTCAGTGTCTAGTTTGACCATGGAAAGATCCCTGGTGTTGCTTTGCTATGGGTACCTAAGAGTCCAAGGTCACCTTCATGGGAAGTGGTAGGAGTAGTCCAAGGGTATTTAGGGAAAGGAGAAGAATAGTAAAAGCAGCTGAAATTGGAAAACCGTGAAACAGTGAAGATCTCCACATCTGTATTATGAAATCTGCTCTTTGGTGGAGCCTAAATCTATTTCTTATTTCCAGAATTTGTGGAGAGGCCTGCTGGCTTTAGCTAACCCGCCTGTGAACTCCTTTGGGCGAGGCAAAACTGACTGTGGAGAAGGGGCTGCAGTATAAATATGTTGCTACAAAGTGGATTTGGCCTAACAAAACCCTCCTTGAGATTCACACTGGTATTACTTACAGTCCTTAAGAGAGCACCGTACCTGGAGCTGAGGTACAAGTAGCCAAAGGATGGCACCCTCCATTATCTATTGAGCAGATATCAACCTGGGTACATGTTTGTCCATCTCCCTCATAACCTGTTCAGAGGTAAATCTCAGTTAGTCTACGACAAACTATGTTCTCTGAGTATCAACAGGAAAACAATAATTTGGTGAGAAAAAAAAACTAATTTATGGTGTAAAATGATAGTCTTCTGCAGTTAAAAAGAAAAAATTGAGATGGCCACTGGAATATATCTTGGCATATTTATTGTTGTTCCTATGCTGCAGGGATGGATTCTGACCTTAACTAAATCCTCCCATGATTTCAGAAAAAAGGTATATTAGTATTACCCAAGTATAGGTGAGGTCAGAGTGAGGCCATAGGAGCTCAGCTCTCAGCCACCATGTGCTGCCCTCCCTGTGCTACACCCCGCCAGCCCTGACCACCTCCAGGCATCCCGCTGCATGCCAGAGCTGCCCCTGTGCCTCAAACACAACATCCAGCTCCACTCGGGAGCTCAGCAGGACTAAAGAGCTGCAGCACGACTCTGCATGGCTAGAGCTGAGGTCCACTGCACCGCATCAAAACTTGTCTGAGGCTGCGTTTCCAGCATGGCGATAGCCCTCCAGTGCTCAGTAACTGAGAGCCTTCACTACGTGCAGTCTATTGCCATTTACATAGCAATTGAAAGGTCAATTAGAAAGGTTTTTTCCTGCTAGTACTTCTAGTATTGATAGCATGCATTTCATAAATTTCATTTTAAATCATAAACCACAAATTATAAAGATGTAAGTCACAACTTCCACTGCTTGACCTGTATTGCTATGGAAACACTTGTTCTCAGACAGCATTCAGAGCATGACAAACCATTATCTAGGCTTTTTCAAGACAGACAATGCAGCTGATTTATGGCACACAGGATACTCTTTCAATTAATATAGACAATGAAATTACTACCATAATTACACAATCCTTGTTTCCCGTTAATGATCTTATAAAGGAAGTACTTCATCAAAGCATGGCTCTAACACTGAAAAGGGCTAACTAGTATAAGAGGAACACATTTCAGACAATCTTCATTAGAGACATACTCTATGAAATGTTCTTTAGTAGCTGAAGCAGTTTGAATATACTTGGATTCTGCATTCTGTATTAGAGTATTGCTTTGTGTATGTGACATATGTAAAACCAATCTTCAGCTTAGTCTACCATAAAACAGGCTCGAATGTGTTGAATCTTCATCTTCTAAGCCTCTCTATAGTTTTACCAACAAAAAAAATCCATATTACCTGGTGGACAGAGCCCACAGTGGAAGGATCCCATTGTGTTGATACATTGGACCATCGGTGCTGTTGAGCAGCCTCCATTATTATTTTCACATTCATCAATGTCTTGGCAACTGTAGCCATTTCCTTGCCAGCCTAAAAAAAAGCACAAGAGAAACATTAAAACAGAAAATGCCTGGCCTTTTCCTTTTCTTCTTTGACCAGATCTTTTCATAGAGCAGAAAAATATGATTTTTAAATTCCATTTCATCAACACAAGAGAAGATCTGTCCCTCTCATAACTGATGAGAATTAATACCGGTCTGCAAAATAGATTACAAACACAACAGCATGGAGATGTGTGTGTACATTTTATTTTAACTGTATTCTGGATATTCCAGAATCAAACACACTTGAACCTAAAGAAGAGGCAGTCTAGTGCACGTGTACAATTTGCAGCAAAGTTTTATCACAACTCCTGTTAAATACTTTAAATATTCCTCCTACACACACTGCCTATCCCACTCAGGAAGAAGAATCATAGTTTATACGGCTTGAGGGGACAACTAGATTTTTATATTGCCTTAGGGCAGTGAGTATATGGACAAGATGGTAACTCAGACCTGTTACATGAAGGTAAAAGGACATGGTGGACATGAAGGTATCTACGGACATGAAAGTACATCACATCTATTTAGATGCTCAGTTTAGGATGGGATAAATCATGCATTAGATTCCACTGCCTATGTTACCTAGATAAGACAACCTAGGCATTTATTCTCTAGAATACAGACAAAAGCATTTTGTGGAGTTACTCTCTTCTGGATCCTGTGTCTGCGCTTATGACACACAGGCAGTACCACCTGCTGCCACCCTCTCCCACCTGAGAGTGCAGAAGGACGTGATACCTGTGGGGCAGGGATCACACGAGTAGGAGCCTGGTGTGTTGTGGCACTGCACAAGCGGATTCTGGGAACACGGACGATTAGGGAGGCTGCATTCATCTATATCAGCACTGCAGGCAGGGCTGCCAGGAGGGGACATCCACCCAGCGTCACAGATACAGCGGTACTTGGGCTGCCACAGCAAACATCACATTACATATTTAAGACAGTTAGAACAATGAAGAAAAGGGCATGAGGAGTTCATTTTATAAAATGTCTTTTAAACTACAGCAAGAAAGCTTTCAGAGAATTACATGTTTTGCACATTCTTTTTTATAAATTGCTTTGGTAGTTTTCGCTATTTCTTCCTGTGAATTTACCTATATTTAGATTATGGAAGCAACAACAGGCTCATTCATTATGTTCATAAAAGAAACCTGTAATTTACCCCAAAGCTCACAGAGAAAATGAACAGCAATTATGAGCTGGACGTAAACATAATTAAAAGTCATCAACTTGCTTTGTAACCAGGTTAAACAGATCAGTGTAAGCAACCTGAAATCAGCTTGGCTGTTTTATTTTAAGAAAACTGTTCAGTAATCTGTGCAGTGTGCCGTGCTGACATTAAATTGCAAATATACATTTTCTTTGAGGAAAATATTTGTCTCTCTTGTAAAATTTATTAATGGCTAGATTTCAGCATTTATCTAGCTTTGGTCCAATTAAAGCTAATGGGAGCTTTATTGTTGACTGTCACAGGAGCAGACACTGTTAAGCCAACACTGAACCCTTTTGAAAGGCTTTCTCCAGAAAAAAATGGCCAGAAAACAAGTGATGAGTTGTGAAAACTTTTAAAAAAATGGAGCAAAGAAATTATTTTATAGCATAGCATTAAGAATATGTGGTGTGTCTGGAACGGTGCATGGGTGTATAGGAGTGTTAAGGAGCACAGGCTTGGCAAGGTAGTTTTGGAGGGCTGCTCTGAGTGGAAGGAGCCAAAGCTGGCAGGTTCCATATGTCCCTTTGGAGTGAACACCCTGTACCCAGATTTTCTCCCAAAAAGAATGAGCTGGCTTGCTCCAGAAGACTGTTCAAGTGTATGCTAGCATCCACCCAGAGCAGATGCTTGGAGAGTGTCTGGAGTCAGAGACCGAGTCCAGCTGACAGTGAGAAGCACCAAAGACTAGCAGCAGCCACCCCAGCCGCTGTGCAGCCCTGGCGGCTCGCAGGCCACTGGCAATAATGTCCCACAGGTATGCCTTTTCCCAGGAAAAACAAGATTCATTATATTTGTCCCTCTTAATCATTTAAGTAATAAAATATTCTAGCAACTTAGAACTGCACAAATAATGAACAGTAAGAATTTTATGCTTCAAATTAGACTTTGACTTACTCAAAGACTATTCCCAAGCTTCCTATGGATGTAGTAATAGATCTGATCCTGTGACAAGTACCTCTGACAAGACAGAAGGCATTTTCAATTCTTTCTGCTGTCCTTCGGACAACAGAGAGGTTAGGTTATGTTGTTCAGTAGCACTTCTTGCTGTTTTTCGGCAGCCGTGTACACTACACAGTTTTGTGGTGCTCAGCGTTATTTGTTGTTTATTCATGCTGTGCTGTATAATGAGACATATGTTGTTCCTCACCGTGTTGGGCTGATCTCTGTCTGCATCTATACAGATGCCATGCTCACAAAGCGTCTCAGATCCTCCCTGGCAGTCATCAAACTTGAAGGCACAGTGAGGCCCGTAGGTTTCTGGAGTACAGGAGCAGCTAATGGCAAAACCAGGCAGAAAATTAAAAATGTTGTCTTTATAAAGCACTTAGAGATCATGTATTGCCATAGTAAGAGATCATTCTCCCCTCTTTTACTTATGTGGTGTTCCTTATAAAATCCATCTATTTAGCTATACCGACAATCCTGTTAATAGTCGTGCACAGACTATTATCTCCTGTTCAGCAGAGACTCAAGAATCACATGGGACTTGTGCATATCCGTGACTGTCTGACCCTACGGGAGAATCCACACCCTTCTGTTACATTTGTTAAGTGCAAAACCAGAAAAAAATAAATGTCTAAGATGAGACTTGAGCAGAGGATGAGCCTGGAAATCACCACTCCACCTAAACATTGTGTTTCAGTCTATGACCCTCATATGATGCCAAGTGCCCAAGACCCTACCCCATGCGATATGCAGAAGTGCCACAGCCAGCCTGTCCCAGGGAGCAGGGGACCTTCACACCCACACCTTAAGACATGGCAGCTGCTGTCTCAGTCACGTAGTGGGCTGAAGGGAGGCATTCAACATGGGGGATCTAGCTTGCAGGCTGTCAGTTGCATTGCATTGTTATTTATAGGGCACACCTTAGTTACAGCACTGTACATACACTGTGGAACTGAAACTGGGAACTTTTAAGCGATCAAGTAATATTTCCTTCTTCTCTGACCTTTTATTTCCACATGGACCAAATCTGAGGCTTTCAAAAACAACTGAAAGGGACCTAAACCTACAGAAAGCCTCCTAACAGATCACTGGCTTTTTATTAAAAGAGAGACCCTTATTTGGATACAAGTTATATGCTGTGATTTCTGCTGATGTCTGCTCCTCACAGAGACATATGGCAGGCACACACCCCTGTTGAATGGCTTTTAAGCTGGCTAACGAAAACTGCGGTGTAAAAGCATTTGCCTGCAGAATTTGAACCAGGGTTTTCCAGTGCAGCTGGACCTTGGAGCAATTTAATAATAAGCTGCAACTGTTCCTGCCACTGTGTCACATGCTCAGTTGAAACAGCAGTTTGATAAGCCAGCTGCAGGTAGTAGCTAAACCCTGCACCCAGGACAAGCAACCTGGATGAACTTAGGGTTAAAAAAACCACAACAGCTTAATGCTTAACTGCAATCTGCAGTACTGTAAGACAGCATGTTCATTATTGTAAGAGAGGGCAGAGAGATAGACCCACACCATCTCACCAGCACAGTAGCTCAACCTGGACAAGCACAGAGGCAACAGGTCAGGGAACCACATCACCTTTGTATGTTCAAAGTACATTCAGAGCTTCATGTTCAGCTTCAAAGGACATAGCAAGACAATGTGACTGCCTCCAAAGGAAGAGGGCAACGGCACTGTCTCCTGCCTACTCTGGCAAAGATTAATCTGCTACCCATGCGAAGTTGCTCAGAGAACAGCTTCAAGAAATAGGTCACGCTGCAAGAAGCTTCGGCCAAATTGCGATCTACTGCTGCTCAGCACTGCCCTGGTTCTCTCCCATCGCTGACAGCATGTGATGAGGCCCTCGTTATTTTGGTTCTGACACAAAAGTCTGATAGAGTTGGGGACTCTCACAGCCTTTCATCCAACTAATGCAATGACCCATTAAGGTCTTGATTCTTGAAGGCGTTTCCTGAATAACTGCTCTCTTTCCTCATACTTTAGTGCTTTTCTGAATTACAGCTTGAAGCATGCAGGTAAGGAATCTGAACAGGGAGAGAAGACTGTGTTATGCTCCATTTCATGGTATCTGATCCAGCACCTGATGTTATCACTGGGGGCTATGGAAAGTTAAATATCACCGTTTTCTTTACCCACAGTTCACACTGGTGCATATAACTACTCCAGAGCAGGAGCGGGGTGACCTGGGTTGCTGGACCCCTGAAAAACTAGCAGCAATGTTCTCACAGTTTTTGAAAAGAGCCATGTCATGCTCTACCTAGGGATGTATTTAGCATCTGGGGAGTACTCAGAAGACAGTCAGTATGTGAAGGGAGACTGTGAAGACAGTACAATGGGGTTGGGGAAAGGACTCAGTAGTCCCTCAATGCCCTCAATAATCCTGAGGACATAATGCAAAAGCAGTAATACTAAGATTTGGATGATTTACAAAGAGGTCTTGGTCCATTTCAGGAAGCATCGATTCAGCAGGTACCAAGGAGGGCAAGAATTACATTGGGGAGCACACTTACAGGAACCACGACTGTACTAACACAGTGACAACACTTGTGAGAAAGCCAGAGGGTTTGTCCTCCCAAACCTTAATGATGTATGGCACATCGCTGAGCACAGTCACAAAAAACAAGTAATGGCAGGCTGCATTGTGCATCATTTCTTTGACAAATGTCTGTGTTGGGGACATCTGCAGGCAAGCTAGAAACATCATTTAAAATCAAGGAAAAGCTGACAGGAAGCATCATGAGCCAGTGACACCTCAGCAAGCTCTGTGTTAACGTTGAATTGTGAGGAGCAGTGCAGGAGAACTTCCCTTGTGTGAGGTGCTTCCAAGAACTGACAAAGCACTCTAAGCCAGCATTGCACCAAGCAAATATTTGTGGGGGCTAGGATTTTCATGCTGAAGCAGGAGACAAAATGCTTTGCGGAAAGCTTTGGCATGCTCTCCTGCCTGCTTGTTCCCATTGCACAGGGAGAGCTTTGTATTATATCTGACAGTTATTTATTTACCAGACCATTTGCCATTTTGGAAAATAAGACACAAAACGTTCAGGCTGGCTTGCCCTGTAAACAAGAGCATGTTTCCTAAGGAGCTGCACACAGGCAGAGAAGGGTATGCTCCAAGGACCTCATGTCTCTGGGGACCTGCACACGGGCAGCCCAGGCACCCTCCTGGCCAGCCAGCTGCAAACAGCGCTTCTCTGCCCTTTCTGCCTGGCAGCACTGCCACTGCCTGCTCTGCTGCGGTCTCAGCAGTGCCTGTGTATCTGCAGGGGGTGAAGGTATTTCTCAGACTTATGCGGTGTGCTGGGAATGCCAGTGATCAAGGGTGCTCATATATTCAGGAGGTTTCCAACAATCAAACGCTTTGCTGGGCCAAGGGGTAGGTGAAAACAGATGGCTGACAACGTGGCTGTGCTAGGTGGGCATGTTGGTGAGTGCTGGTTACAGACCAGCACACTCCCTCTCACTGCCCCATCGGCACACCCTGGTGCAGTAAGTTTCCATTAAAACATCTGCACCTACAATGGAGAGCCAGGTGACGGGAGCCAGTCTGCAATTTGCAGCCTCCTTCCCCAGCACGGCTGGGTGAGAAATCTGGTTCCTGCTGCTCTTCTTGTGTCGAAGCAGGCAACAGCTTCGGAGGGCCTTCTCTGTCTGTGGTGGGCTCGGGTATACTGTGTACAAGGATTTTATATTCTCTCAGACTGCAAGGGATTATAGTGCGTAGATTCTAACCAGACATTCCTAGAACTTGTGCTGCAACTGTGATATGGTACAAAAATAGCAGAGTATTTTACATAAAGTTTTTGCATATAGTTTTGAAAAGTTACCTGTAGCTGCCTGGTGTGTTCACACAAGTGGCTCCATTCTGGCAGCCTAATGCTGTTCCAGCATAAATCTGGCATTCATTAACATCATCTGAACACAGCGGGCCCTAAGATGAAATGGAAAACCAGTTGATTTTCCAAATAACTGAGAAATGAAGCAAACCATGGAGCCAATGTTTAATACAATTTCCAAAGATATAGAAACCATGGGCCGCTATAAACACAGCTTCTTTTCTGAAACCTTATAACAAAACTCTATTTTTCAGCTGTGTTTCTGTGACCCTGGTTATCAGTCAAATGAGGGAGAAAATATTTCAACTGTTTCTAGAAAGCATATGGACAGAATAGTACTGTCATCCCCCCTACTTTCCAGCTTACTAGGAAAAGGCTCAGAAAACTTTCAACTGTTTCTATCACAAGATGCTGTTTTATTAAGACTGAAAGCACAACAACTTTGACCCAAATCTTGCTGGGACAACTTTCAAGTTGAGAGCCTTTGAGCAGAAGATATAACTTTTCCATCTCGAGTGCATGTAAGAGCACCATTAAAGCCTTTGCCAGTGAAGTCTTTTGATTTAAAAAAACTCTGAATGGATTGATTGCTTATACTCCCATTTGTCTTATTTGTTTGAGCCTGAATAAACATAATTCCCTTCCCCCATTCTCTCTCTATCCTTGAGTAAGATCAACAGCAAGGCAAAGTTCACTCAGCAAAAAACAAAGATTAATTCTCTGCTGTGGGAACTGCCAAGAGTCACTGATGTCATGGGACATCATCTGCATGTAACAGTGCAGGGTCCAGACCAAGAGTTTGGGCTTCACTTTTCTGGTATATATCGATATTGTTGAGAAGCATATGTGTTGCCCTTCAGACAAACAATGAGTGTGATACTGCTGCTTTGATGTTCTGTGTATCTCACACTGTCTTGAGCAACCTTAAAATGCTACGCTTCGTCACAATTACACTAAGCCAGGTGTACCCTTACAGTTAGAAACATGCTCCGTATTCACAACAGCTACAGACTCACCTGCCAGCTGCTGGGACAGAGGCAAAAGAAACCATCCAGCAAGTTTACACAGGTCCCTGAGTTCCCACAGGGGTCACTACTGCAGGCTTTCCTCTGGATAGCCTGAAACCCAGGAAAAAAAGCAGCAAATGAGTTTCCTGCTTATTTGGTGTTTCATTAGCATCTATTTTCAAGACAAACCATTTTGAGCTGTTTCATTTATCCTTGTACAAAATAATGACTAATAGGATTGGTCTTACACAGGATGGCCAGCTGCAAGCACTAGGATGGGAAAAGCCCTGTAAGAAGTAAATATCAATAGAGACTGTTCTTCGTCAGCAGACTGTGAGTCTAGATGGAGGGCTATTTTGTCTTCTTGATTTCATAGTAAAATTGCTTTTTCTGGCAGCTGTAGCTGTGGCTTGTCACAACCTCAGTGGAGAAGCAGGTGACAGTTGAAAATGAGCTATTTCCAGTACAAGATAAAATCCAGTTTGAATTCTCCAGTCTTCATCCTGACAGATCAGTGAAGGAAGAGTTTACTTCTCCCTGGTATCTAGTTGTTTTTCTTGAGTCTACAACTGTTTTTCCTTTAAGGAATGCAGGCTCCTACAGAGTTTATATTTTGTAAGAAGGCATTTTACCTCCTCTACAAATATTGAGTTTTTTTTTACCTCCTGTTACCGAAAAAAGTTTTGCTGAGTAATGCATGTGAGGAAAGAAATCATTTAGCTATTTAATCATTGTAACCTCACTTTATTTGCTGGGGGCTGGGTGTTGCTTTTTTGATCTCTAGTTTGCTTCCCATTTACTCACCTGCTCTAAGCTTTGAAGTTTGTTGTCAAGACTCGTGATCTGCAAGAGAAATGCAAATTACATTGTGCTTGAGAGAGACCACAGAGGTATGTGCTGGATGCCGGTAGGCTAACAAAATATCTTCTTCTGAGAAAAGAGGATAGCTAGAATGTGAAACCAGGTGACAATCAGGTTCAAATCAGGTCCCCTTCACTAGGATTTCAGTGGTTTAGGCTGTTCAGAAAATGACAGCTTAAATATGTCCCAGTTCAGCTCCAAAAAGCAAGACTCAGTCCTGTGAAGATGTCCTCAGGTGCTCAACATTGAGAATGGGAATGTTCAGGTGCTTGTGCACATGCAAAGGAGGGAGGTGTGAGACATTACACCAAACGACAAGAAAAGGTTCATGATATCTCAGTGGGTTATAGCCACAGACAGCAAGCTGACACTGAATCAGGGAACATGACAGATATGTATTAGCACAATTTCCCTAGGGGAAAGTCTCTTAGGCTATAAAATATTTTCCTATAGGAAATTTGTGGCAACACTGTAACAAAAGACACTTAAACCAAGTCAGACAAAGGTTTCACAATCTTCTCTTGGAAAAAAATCTTCTGTAGCAGGGAAGAGAGAAAACTACTGCATAGGTATTTTCTTTCCACTGCAAACCCCTATAGCCCATTTCACCTATGGAATGGAATGTCTGTGTAACACCTATAAGAACACACACGGTCCATTTCCTGAATTTAGTTGGATTTCACTTTCATGAATACTGGAGAATATAGTCCACAGAACTGTTGACAGTGAACAAAAGAATAAACCTGGTAACTGGAAATTATGGGATATACAGGAATATTTCCATTGTCTCCAGAGTTACTGAACAAGTATCTCAACATTATCCATAGACTCTGAGCTGATGTTAGATATGGACTGTGCCCCAATTCCCTAAATTGGAGTCCAGAAATACTAAAATTCATCAGGTAATGATGTTAATCTGAGGAATGGAAAACTGGGAACTCTGGAGGAGGATACCATAAGGGTACGGCTCACCTTGGAGGTCAGCAGAGCAACCTGCTGGGACATGTTCTGAGAGGCACCATGGGCTTTTTTAAGTTCTTGAATCTCTGCATTACTTTCTCTCACCTAAATTTAAACAATAAAGATAATGTGAAACAACCTTGGCTTTTTCAGAAGCTTGCAAATATAAACAAGCTTTGTTTTTTCAAAAGCTTAGGAAAGTTTCATTCTTGCTTAACTTTGCTGTTATAAAGTCCACTTAAATACAGAGAGCTCTGTTACACACACAACTTAATCTTTTAATTATTTTCTGTAATGGCATGATTACTTTATGAGTGTGGAAAAGCTTACTTTCATACTAGAGTGCTGACACAGATAATATAAAATAACAAACATACAACACTGAAAGAGGGTAGATTAGATACTAGGAAGAAATTCTTTACTGTGGGGGTGGTGAGACACTGGAACAGGTTGCCCAGGGAAGCTGTGGATGCCCCATCCCTGGAGGTGTTCAAGGCCAGGCTGGATGAGGCTTTGAGCAACCTGGGCTAGTGGGAGGTGTCCCTGCCCGTGGCAGGGGGGTTGGAACTAGATGATCTTTAAGGTCCCTTCCAACCCAAACCATTCTGTGATTCTATGAAAACACATCAAACATTTGCTAAGACATATTCTGAAAACAATTAAACTATTAATGTGCAAAAATGAATACAAAAACATATTAAGGAAAAGTAACTATATCACCTGACTAAAAAGTTCTGCAAGGTCTTCTTCATTAATTTTTATTTTCCCCAGTGGTCCAGTTCTAAATTCAATATTTTTGCTGGAGCCAGCATGGAACACTAAGTTACCCTGCTCTGAGGACAAACGAGGCCTGTTGCATGATGGAAAAAAACAGAGAAATCATTTAGTTACACATATCTGCCAAAGCATATGTAAAAAAGAGCTGCAGTAAAGCCATTCTGTTCCCATTATGGGCACTTAGAAGCCACCATATGAACAAATGCATTGGCAAGCAATGGTACTTACTGCTCATTATAAATGGTTCTTTTCTGCCTCTTTTTTTCATAGTGGTTTGATTCACAGCTCAATCCAGTAAGTAATAATAATGCAACTAAAAGCCCACGAGCAGGAACAGCCCAAAGCATTACTCTCCTCCAGTTGTCCCGCATTTGAAGTGAAACCTCCAGTGCTGAATTGTCCTGTTGCGAGCCCAGGTGCCCTTTGCTCTCACACAGCTCTTTACTCACAAGGTGCCCATTCTGCTGTCTTGTCTTGCAAGGGTGAACTTTATCTCAGGGATCTTAATTAAAGATTGACAGTGTGCAAATCCTCTAGACGTTAAATGTATTTTTTTCTTTTTGTCTTTTGGTTTCAGGAGCTTTGAAAGATCATTGAAATCTGCCTGTATTTTATCATTATGTCTTTTACCTTTGTCCAGCTGAGCACTCCTGTGTCTCAAGCACATTGTAATCTGCAGCTGGTTACTGTGGGAACAGCTCGCTCTCCCCAAATGCTGCACCACATGGGCAAAAGAAAGATTATTTGGCAGCACCAAAGGACCTAGATGATTGTTACAAAAAAATCCCCAAATCCCATATATGAAACCCACAGTGTCTGGCAAGGAGTATTTGTATTGAAAGAAAGTCTCCAGCCAGTAACTTATTGGGCAGATGACACAAACAAGTTAGCAGTACCAAACAGCATCCCATGGATTACAACAGCAAAATACAATTTTAACCAAATATGGTTGCTCTGACTCAAGAATGACTCAGTCCCTAGACGCTGGGGAAATGATCACACACTAAGGGGACTGCATTTTGGTTGGCATGTGTAGGCTATCTTCATTGCACACCCTAGGGCTCACAGATTCAGGGCAAGCCACAGACAATGCAGAAAACCAAGTTAAAATTCAGAGGAGGCCCAAAAGTAATCAAAAACTGCAAATTAATATGTACCGAGAGCCAAAATTTGAATGACCCCATTTTCCTCTTCCCTACAGCAGTACCTCACAGCCTTCTCAGAAGAAGTGTCTCACCGAAATACTTGTGGGTGCTTGTCCCTGAGGCCCAGGCTGCTGCTGCTGGAAGCCACGACAGTCCACGTCCCACCTCCCCTTTTGCTTCTGCCAGAGCCTCTGTATTCCCCTTGCACAAGACCTTACTGTGCTTTCTTCTCCCTGCTTAGGGGAACATTGTGTATGTTCTCCTTCCTTGTTCTAGGAGCTATCTGAACCTCCAGGCCCACCACCATTCTTTTTGATTTTTCTTTTTGCTCAGTAGGCAACTAATTCAGGTTGCTCACATTTCAAAACTCCGCTGAGAAGAAAAGAGTGTCGTCAGTTGTAGCTGCTGTTGCTCAAACATAACAGTAGCCACCATTCACTGATCCTTTAAGTCCAAGACCTTTGTGGAAGCCACAGAGCTCCTGCACTTCGTCACCCTGTCCATGTTCCTTTCTGCTCCGGTTTGCACTTGTCACCTACAGACGTCCCACAGATATGTGGGACATGACCTGGAGCTGGGGGATTGAAGAACTCTACAGCTTCCACACACAGAAATGTTATGAGGTCAAAGCACGCTGGGAAGAGATTAGATGTGGTGACAAAAAATAGTCACCTCAAAAAGAGACAGAGGTGGACTGTGAAAGTGAGTGTGAAGTCAGGACAGCTGATGTTTATGGTGCTGCCACAGATAACTTGACCCTTACTGTGATTAACTATATAGTCCAAGATTGTAGAAGCTGCATCCCACCAGCCCCACTATTTTCTGCTGTTTGCATAAAACCTATTTTTTATTACATTTTATTATGTGTGCTTCCAGAAACTGACCTCAAAATTCAAAACAACATGACCCTGCTGACCATCTTTCCTGTGCTCGCACAGACTGTGATGCAGGTAACCCAGCAGTTACTGCTGCTGCCTAGAGATTTGGGAGGGCAGAGATGAAGCTCCTCCTGACCCCACGGGGACAGCCCACCCCATATGCCTGCCGAGTAGCAGGAGCTCAGCTCTCCAGGTATTTATCTGCTCCGCAGCTGCCTGCAGCCTCCAGGAGACTTGAGTCTATCAGCTGTTGCTGCCAGAACAGAGGAACATGAGGAGAAATCCCTGTACGTTGTCCTTCACCATCATTGGGGATGGTGTTTACACAAAAATACAGAATTGTATCCTCAGTTCTTCAAGACTGTCACTGCTCCATTCAATCCAAATGAGCTAAGATACTTTACACTGAGGATCTGTCCTTGCACATTTTTTAATTTCCTGTTCTGCTCTTTGCTCTGAAACCTCTGTTCTGGAATAGGAGTGCATAGATGAATTATTGATGTGTCTGTCTAGTCAACAGGACACCTTCTGCCTCTGGGTGTCCTGGTGCTGTCCATTAAACTAGTGCTCACTAACATTCTTCATGTCAGTTCCAAAAGCTGTCCAAGTTTTTTTGCTCTTTTAGTTTTGTTGGTTTTTTTTGTTTTGGTTTTTTGTTTTAACAGTTTACTGAGTTTTTAACTGTCAGCTGGGTATCAACTTGAAGAAACTATGGGCCAACTAAACCTGCACTTCCTCGCAGGCTGGTTGAATGTATGCATATTTCAAGAACTTTCTTTCACATTGTCCATTGTAAGCTGAGAGTTTTCAGCCTGGACTTCAGCCGTGACCCACAAAATCCTTCCTTTTCTCTATTAATTTCTTTTGCATACTGAGTATGCATTGCCCCTCTCTGCTGCCTGTCAATCTTTGATTCAAACTTCCCTTTCCAACTAATTAACTCCAATATACCAAATGACTAATGAGCAATAAACCATAGAGGATGGGGAGAAAGCTGCTAATGTGAGGACGAAGAAGAAATAACTTTTCACCTTCTCTTCATGCAGGCTCAATAGCTTAGAAAACAGTTGACCTGAAGACCAGGTGACTTTGTCTATGCACTGATTACAGGATGGAAAAAGAACTCTGGACATCTATCTAAACCTTGCATGACATACCATTTTCCATTTCATTCGACCTTCCAGATTTTAGTTAATTTACTCCCTCTTCCTAGTGAATGCACCTTAGGCTAGCCAAGTTGGGAAATCTATAAACCATCTCAAGGAGAAAAATAGGTCCACGCCTTTTAATTTAACTGAAATACATTGGATTGAGAAATCATTTTTGGAGGAACAGAATGGAAACCCTGCAAATGTCTGGCATAAGAATAGGGGCTGTTCTTTCTAACAAGGAGAGCTGGCACGAACCCGTCCTCCCAGGACAGATTGTTCATAACCTCATTGACATTATGGCTCAGGAAACACATCTGAAGAGTACAGCTTGGGCATAGATTTGGCAGGATAAGTAATTAAGCATTTGTCTCTAATTCTGGTTGAAGCTCACCGTGTACTAGCAGGGACTACAATTTACCACTACCTTGTGTAGCTGTGTGAAATAAAATGGTGGCATCCCTCTACTTCTCCAGCAGTATGTGCCTGCAATGCAAAGATGCTGCTGCAGAGCACAAGAGTGGACTCAGACTATGGCCAAAAAATTCAGTACGCATTAATTGCACCTACGAAGTCAACTCAGATGCAGAGACATGATGCAAGACTCTGACAATGCTCCTTTTTTATAGGGGGGAAGTGCAACTACTGGTATGAATCCCAACATGAGTAATTTTTTAATGGAAGACAAATAATCCTTTATTTTGTTCTATAGATGAAAAAAAAAAATCTCTGTTATTCAGTGTCAGGATTCAAATATTTGCAAATAATTATAAATCCAGTCCCATTGCTGGCTTAATCTCAAGTAGTGAGCACTTACCTGAGTTTCCCCTCAACCAAGGTCATGTCTCCCAGTACCTCCATCTTCACTTCCCTGGATTCTCTTTCATCTTTCCTCTTTCTAGTAATACCCCACCATTCCAAAGTGACACACAACACAGGAAGCAGCACTATTACCTACATGGTACAAATATGCAAATTGCTGGTGTAAACAATGTTCCGTATCAAATTCAGCACTTTTGGTGTGTCCCTATAGCTCTGAGAAAACCAAGCACTAAGCTGGTATTAGGCCCTACGTAGAGGATCAACAACCATATGATTTATATCAAACACAGGTGACTGTGAAAAACAATGTTCCCCTTTCTGTCCCTTACCTATAACAACCCATCACCACTTCCTTCCTTCTCTTTATGTCTGTCTGGAGAGTTTTATGGCTGCAGCACCTTCCCCAAGGGCTGCAGCAGCTGCAAGACTCCATTTCCCCCGTCACTCCTTATGGAGATCTTTTATTTCTCAGCATATTGCCCTCTGACATATGCTTAAGATTTTGCTCCCTCAACACAGTTGATGAAGTTAATATGTTATCTGCTGCTGAAGTTAAACTCACTGGCCAGGAAATCCAGGTTTTCAGGTTTTAATAGCAAATAACAAAGAGATGAGTTTTTGATTCCTCTTTCTGATTTTTCTTCCTACATACGTTGTTTCTACAAACCACTAACCACTTTGATGCTTCCTATTTTCTGTTTCATTCTTTTTTGAAATTAGGTTCATGAAAAGTTTCCAGTCACTTACATTAGCTTTGTTCTTTTCTATTGATTGTTCCAGTCCTTTTAGCACATTCCAATTGCTTTAATGTACAGCGAAGTTATTTTTAGAGACTTCCATTTGCATAGGCACCCTTCGCCACTAATAACCCTAAAGCCATGAATAGACCTGTCTGTACAACCTCCCTCAGATTTGTTCTATTCTGTTACTGTTGGCTTTATCAAGAGGCTTAGATCTGAGCTAAGACCATAAATCATTTGCTGCATATTGATGCTGTGATCACAAATATTGGCATTCTGTCACCATACAAATATAAGGAAGTGAGAGTGGTCATACTGGGTTAGAAGAAGACCCATCTAGGTCAGTACCCTGTCTCCAACAGTGGCCAAAAGCAGACAGTTAGGAAATGAAGGGTATACGAAAAGGCAAGCACGTACAGGGCCTCTCCTAAGTACTCTCTTGGTCTCTGTGTATCTGCAGCTTAGGAACTTTGTCAGCCAGAAGTCTACCTACTCAGTACTCTCAAAGGATTTTTCTTCCATGAACTCAGTACTCTCAAAGGATTTTTCTTCCATGAACTTGTCCAGCTTTCTCCTGAACTCCTCCCCATGCTTCACCTTACAACACATGTACA